TGGAAACGTCCTAAACCGCATATTCTTGGCCTCAGCGGGAACATTTATTTGGGGCATCACCAGCGTCGGCATGGGCGCTGCACACTCTTTCTCCCAGGTGCGCAGAATTATGTACATACACAACTCCCCTTCATGAACAGCATGGCAAAATGTACACCTCCCAGCATTTGACTCCTGTTGAAAGCTCTGTGCAGTAGACACAACGACAGAAAGATAAACCTGATGCTGACACTTGGGGACTTGTGTTTGGCAACTGATCACATCAGGTCAGGCACCAACTCAGCCCTTAGGTGGTTGGAAGCATTGTGATTTGAGCTGACTAACTGTATTTCTGTGACTGATCAAAAGCTGGGGTGGTGTCAGGCTGCGGCGTTTTCCAGCCTCAATGGGATCGGCTTGTGCCTGGTGCTGTCGTCAGTGCAAAGCGCGCTGGCTGACATCTACAGGCCAGAGCACCGAGGCAAGGCCTTTGGCGTCATGCTCACGGCTGCCTCCGCAGGTGGGCAGCAGGCTTTGACCAGGAGGCGTTTGACTTAATAATTTGACGGCCCTCCAGAATCCCTGATCGGAATGACACTTACGTTCAGTGTTAAAAGAATCTCTTAACAATTCTTGCAGCTTTTAGGAACCCTGTTGCAACAATCGTGGGCAGCGGTAGCCTGCAGCTTTAGCCCATGAACAGTCACAACACTCCCATGGATGTGCAATTTGGATTGTGTCAGAGTTGACTGCTTTTGTGCGATGCAGGCCAGATAGTCTTCAACTTCATGGCGATTGCAGTTGGCGGGAGGCAGGTTGGCAGTCAAGAGGTGTGTTGCTACTATATATCAGCTTTTGGAGGCCTTCACAACTACCTTAGCAAGGGTTTCATTGGGCCGTTGAAGCAATATGCCAACGTCCTTCTGCGCCCTATGCCGCTGTCACAAGCTTTGATGAACGCAATCCCGGAACGCAATCCCGGAAACAACCTTGGTGTGAGCCTGGTTAGGAGATTATTGTTATTACAGGTCGGCAAACCCAAAGCCAGAGGCCATAGGGCATACACGCAGGGCTCCTGCAGCCACATCTGCGGGGCCTTCATTTGTCTGCAGCCTATCACTCACTCGTTAGATATATCTGTCATGTAGGGGTGGCGTTTTGTATTCTACATGATGGCGGGGGTGGCCGGCCTCACAACCATACTCCTGCTCATCTTTGGCATTGAGCCGCGCAATTTAATTGCCAAGCCGCCAAAAGGTCCCAAGCCAAAACCGAGCAGCCCAGCACGTGGGACGGTGCAGCGTGGTGTAGGAGCCCTCAAGGTGGGCTTCACTTAAGACTTTTTCTAATCGCATGTATGTTTACTCGCGTTGAGAAGCATGTGCACGGTTGATTGGGTCTTGCTTGGATCTGGCGAGTCCAACAAGGCTTAGATTTTGGTAGATTTCACATGCAGCTTGGATGCATATGCACCTTGCCTCTGGCAGGAAAAGAGTTAAGTAAGAGTTGGAACAATAATATGCTCCTTGCACAGGCGACCTCAGGAAGGAAAGCAGCTTTGAGACGTGCCATGATGGCATGAGTCATATAGCTTTTGAGCGCACGTGTCTTTTGATGTGGAGCTACCTTTGCTGACTGCAGGCGATAATATCGGATGCGCACCAAGTGTTTGGGGTGTGGTCTTTTGTGGTCATCCTTTTAGCAGAAATCATTATGGTGTGCGGAGGCGCTGGTGCAGGCTACCAAGTGTTGTATTTCCAGGTGCGCTCCTTTTAAGATGCGGCCCTCAAACACCATTGAAATCTTAAAATATTGCAGTTGGAAATGGGGTCGTATCACCCTTGCACAAACTTTCAATCTCTTTGGAAAGCAAGGTGCTGCCATTTATTTGTGCTGATGTCAAATTTAAACTGCGGATACATTTGTGGCTCGCTATTTCACTCCAGCTGGCCGGGGGCGGCATAAACATCTGAGCACTATTCTTTGTTTTGATCGACTTCTGCGTTGATTTGGTGCATTAAGTATCTATATGTAGCGGTCTGTGCCTGTGGCTCTTCTGCAAACGCCTTGCCTCTAGCAAATTCAGTGGGTAACAATAGTGATAGTATTAATGTTGCTGAAATGTTCTTGTGTTTGGGTGTCCTTATGTACAGATCACGGGGTTCACTGATGTGGACACAGCTACGCTGAATCTGTGCTTCAATGTTGGAAACGCGGTTGGAATGGCGACTGGGGGATTTATAGGCGATGCGCTATCAACTCGATTCCCTCGGTTTGCCCGGCCGCTCGTGAATCAGGTAATATTGCATGCATGCGTACCACGTTGCAGGCAAAACAGGGTAAACATGCACTAAGGGAGGTCATCACTGATATTGATATCATCTAATGGACTTGTAGAAGGACCTGGAATGTCTGCAAGATCCGCAGCAAGCTTTGCAGAGCTTCCGCTTGGTGAATTAGTTAGCTTTCTTCCCTGTCATGCAGGCGAGCATGGTTATTGTTGCTCCACTGTTCCTCATACTCTACAAAGGCCTGCCAGGTGAGCATCCATTGCAGCTTCAGCAATCATGCCAGTGACTCTCTGACAGATCAGTCATTGCAGATGTTTGCAGATGTCCGTTATAGCCATCCTTAAATGCCTGAAATGGTGTGTCATTTAGCCCAGTGGCATTTCAGCTTGTAGTTTCCGCTGTTGAATGTCCCATTTCCTGCATAATTCTCACAAATTATGCACGAATGTACGAATAATGCATCCGTGATTGTCATGTTTGAAAATGGCATGCAGGTTCTTCTCTGCACACAAACGGTGTCCCGGGCCATTTGCACGACCTGAGCCGGTACGGGATCCTGCTCTTCTTCATGACGATTGTAGCCCCCTGGGAGCAGGCCAATAACGCCGCAATGTTTGCAGAGGTGAGCCTTTCTTTATCATGCTCCATTTCCTGTCACAAATGTCTACAAAACAGCAAGCAAGATTGCCTGCACGTGCTTGAAAGAGTCAGCCAATCAGGTGGGCAGGCAAAGAGCTGCAAGTTTGTTGACAAGTGGATATTCTGCCCCCATGTGCCAGTTTAGCATATTACTTTGCTGGACCTCACAAGAGCCCAACATTGCCAAGTTCCACGAAGAGTAGTATTGCCTCATGAATTTTATATTTGCACGCAAGGAATTTGCATCCCAAACAGAGTAGAGGAATTTTAGAAAGAATCAGGGGGCATAAAAAAGGGGGCAGCATGTGAAAAGAGGCTGTCTATATCTTGCATCTTTTCCAGGATTTCAGAAGCTGGGTTTTTGGGGGTGAGGCTATAGAAAGTGCGGGAAAAACGTTGATATAATTATAATTTGGTTGAGATGCAGTCTGTGCACTGCAGGTGCTGCCTGAAAATCTCCGGTCTTCAGGGTATGCATTCGACAAGGGAGTCACCGGGCTATTGGGCGCCTTGGCCGCTCCATTGGTCGGCCTTCTAGCAGAGAAAGTCTGGGGCGGTCATGGAATCACTGACAACTCAGCTGCAGCAGTAGATGCAGCAACAGATCCCAGTGCCCTACAAGCCACCTATGCCAAAAACATCCACAATGCAAGAGCACTGGAAAATGCGCTGCTGTCTGTCATGATTGCTGCTATGGGACTCCGTGCTTTGGTGTACGGTCTTTTGTACTTCACACTGCCGAGGGATAGAGCCGCTGTCCAGGAGAAGGAAGCAAGGAATTCTGGTCATCCTGCTGAGAACTTGGCAGGGACTCATTCTAATATGAGAAATTCTGACAGGCAGTGTGAGATGGAAAGGTGGGCTAGCTATCCCCCGCATGCAAGAGCGAGCGCTAAAAAGCATCAGGCAGGTTCAAAGTCTGAGATGCAGCGCTTTGTCAGCTTGCCAGACCCTTTAGACAGTCACCTCCCATGACATGATGTGGGCTTGTGTGGTGATCGCGTGATGTGCATTTGCTCATGTGATGACTGAAATCTGCGTGAATGTCTTCCTCAATAAGATTCATGTACAACTGAGGGTTTGACTTCGGAAGTGAGGTTCGAGGTGTCCGAGGTACCATATATTTTACAATTGCTTGATGAAGTTTACTTGTCTGTTGGAAATTAGGAATTGCGTTTCAGTTGTGCAACCTAATCTGTCCTGAAATTTCAGGACAGTCTAAACTGCCACGCTGGCAGTTTAAACTGCCAGCGTGGCATAGGAGCACTACTAATATAGTCTAGTAGGATTTACTAGGTTCCCTTACATACAATGCATGACACCTGTAGCGATTATTTCCTTAGCCATCATACTCTGTTTTGCGGTGGGAAGTCGTAGGCCTAGGTCCATGAAGGGCAGTCCACGAGACTACAAGATGTGCTTCACCCTGCAGTATGTGAGTCATGCAGAGCTTCTCTAGAGACGCTCACCTGTTGTATTGACCTTGACTTGCAAGACTTGCCCAAGTTGGTGGTTCTTGTGACAAGGGCGCGAGATGAGTCAAGCTTGCGCTGCAGTCCAATAAAAGCAAAAGGGTGACCAGGCTTGAGCTGTCTTGGAAGAGGTGCAATGATGGCACGCATGGCCTTTTGGCAGCCATGCAGGAGTGCAGCAAGGCTTGCAGGATGCGGACAGATGAAGTCAGGGAAGTAAGCACAGCAGTGTATCCCCAAGACGCATGTACGGTATCTACGGAGCACTGAGGCCTTGTCTCTGTCGCGCATGCAAGGGGTGTCTTGTCCGAGAAAGAAGTAGACCCTCATGTGATCGCTTAAAGTTGATTGCTGCCAATTTGTCAGGTATCTGGGACCACCGCTGTAATCTAGGGTACAGTGTAAAATTTACACTGGAAATGATGAATACTGTATAGCGTGCACTGTACAGCACATGGGAAGTAACAATTATTTATCAGGAAATTGCTCATTAGACAGATCTTGCCCAGCAAAAATGCAGCTGTCGTAGCTGACTTCAAGGGGAGCATGCGTTGCCTGTCTAGGCAACGGCGAGCATGTTCAGATCGAGAAGCATTGCGTGGAAATCACCAGTCCTAAAAGTTCTTATACCGCTGCATTACTGACCAGCAAAGTCAGAAATCATATAATACACTTATAAATGGCGAGCGCTACAATGCTTAATTGCACTGCGAGTGTGGGCATGCAGCGATCTACTCTGCTAGGGCAGAGGAGGGTCACTCTCCCCACAAGGGTATGACTCATGCACTGTTAGACTGGTGACGCTTGGATGTGTGGGTCTCTGGCAATATACCGCTTTTCAGTACCTCAGTGCATTTTGCTCCATAATATGTGATTGTCTTATCCTGGACAGTGCCGAGCTCAAGCGTGATGTATACCTCTGTAAAGCACTTACTTCTTTTCTTGCATTGAATAAGGTCGCGGTAGTCGCTTACTTGGGTGCAGTTCTGTCTATTCTTCTGAGACATTGCCAATCGAACGTATTGCCAGCAAGGCTTGTGTCAACGCCCCATGATCAAATGTGCCTTCTGATTGACAGATCCGGAGTGGAAGGATCTCGAGGTCACTGTCGGCAAGGACGCAGGCATTGGCAGTCGGCGACAAGGTACCAAACCGAACACCAGATCAACTGAAAGTGGCAATCTGGGCAAGCCTACTCACCTGAACAATGTCAGGAGGACTATCATGTAGCAAAGGGTGCAGAAAGGCGTATAGTATGACTTGAATCGATTAGAAGACGCAGTCAGGTGATCAAGCCTATGGAGAGTGTTCGAATTGTGTTCATCTCTTGCAGCTGCCAGGCGACATCAAGCTCAACTACTTCGATAAGGAGAACAACATGCAGGAGATCAGCGTTGAGGAGCTCACAAAGGGCAAGAAGGCAAGTTCTCTGCTTTTCTGAGCACGCGAGAAGTGTAGCACTGATAATGAAGCATACATCTGTCGGGGCCCTTCCTCGTGGTGCATCCGGTCATGCTTTAAGCTATCCCCAGTGATTGGGCAAACGAGCTTGCGACCTCAAGCATCAGCAGAGATTCAGTGCTTCCAACCAGGATTGTGTTTTATTCATACCACAATTGACGCAAGGACACAAAAGGCAGAGCACTGAGATGTGTGTGTGTGTGTGTGTGTGTGTGTGTGTGTGTGTGTGTGTGTGTGTGTGTGTGTGTGTGTGTGTGTGTTTCCCTGTCTACTGTATTTGCCGTACTGGGTTGCAGCTCTATTGGCAGGATGATCTTACCGTGTGTCTTATGTCAGAGTGTTTAGATGCCGTGCCCGGCGCTGAATCTTAGAATAAGAGTCGGGCATCGGATCAGGTCTGAAGATAGCCAGAAGCGATGTGAACTGACTGACTGCCTGTGTCGGGCATCGGATCAGCCCTAACTCGGCTGGAAACGATGTACCATACTGGTCACGGTAAACCGTGCACAAATTAATTGTTTAAAACCAGTATTCTGATTTCTCTGACTGTGTCGGCGCAGACGGTCATCCTGGCAGTGCCAGGGGCGTTCACCCCAACTTGCAGCCTGAAGCACCTGCCTGGCTTCGTGGAGAAGGCGGAAGAGATCAAGGCAAAGGGCGTTGACACGATTGCATGTGTGGCCGTCAACGATGCCTTTGTGATGGACGCGTGGAGCAAGAGCGTGGATGTTGGCGACAAGATCCTTATGCTCGCGGATGGCAGCGCCATTTTCACCAAGGTACATTTCAACACCGAAAACCAAAAAGAATGGAAAGCATTTATACAGGTGGTGCTCGAGATACATGGTCCTTAGGCCTGGAAAAGGAGGTGTAAATGAAGAAAAGAACAATAGAAAGGCTGGTAACACTCAGTGACCTCAACATGAAACCATTTTAATTGGTTTGGTAAGCGGCGCAGCCGAGAAGGCTGCATGCGCAACCAACTCCAGTCCTTGAAACCAAGCTGCTGCTTGTTTGTGAGCTGTTGCACTGTTCACCAAGGTACAGAATTCGGAACTAAGATTCTGCATGGGCATGAAACCTTGCGCTGTCATCTGCATCCTACATGCACGTGGAGCCCTTTTCAGCAGTGTTTGAAGGCCATGGGCCAATTCCTCGTGGAAACATATGTTTGGCAGCTGCGCCGCCTGGGTTGATGAGGTGCTTGCCGTGGGTGGCAGAGTGGTCTTCTTAGCAGCCTGCCCATGGCTTTTTGGGATCGTGGTTGGACTTGGCAGGTTTCACGCGCTACAGGTTTCTTGTCAGCCTAGACATGGACACCGTCAGCTCAAGCATTTTCACACTCCTGGCCGGAAGCACATGCGAAAGAATATTGTGATAAGCTGCTATGGGGTGGGTTCAGTCTAGACAATAAGCTGAGAGTATTTGTGTTGTGGCAGGCAATTGGCGCTGAGTTGGACCTGTCAGACAAGGGGCTGGGCATCCGCTCGCGCAGATTCGCCCTGCTGGCAGATGACGGCGTGGTGAGTCACTGCTCACGCTTTCCCGCACAATCTCAATTTGATTTTGTGGAAAATCTGGCTCATGCTGCAGATCAAGTGTTTTAATGCCCTGACAATACAGCGATTGGAGTCCAGTCCTCGCGAGGCTCTAGCTCTAGGTTGGCGACTGGATTGTAAACTGCGTGACTGTGGAATCAACATGGCGAGGCAGTGATGATTTGCACAGCACAGTGTTTGCCAGCTCAGCACAGCACAGTAGTGACCAGATGTATACTCTCTGTCACGTTCGCAGGTGAAGGAGCTGAACCTTGAGGAGGGAGGTGCTTTCACAGTCAGCAGTGCAGACACCATCCTGGCCGCACTTTAAATTTGCGGCTCAGCTCAGCTCCCTTGCACTCCTGCAAGCAGTCCGCCAACTTGCTCGAGATGGCCAGTATAAAACACTTCAGGGCACTTTTGTGTTGATACTGATCAGCAGCCGAGCCTTGCTGTTGAGGACGATAGGACCTCTTGCGAGCGTGCAGGCCTCTATAAGATATAAAGTACATAAAAAATACAGAAAAATAAGCGCCCACAACAGATCCTTGAGCTGTGCATGTGCATGCAGTGCAGAGATCGCAAGTGAAGGGTCTTGCATTCTACACAGAGTGTCAGTGTTTGAGAGGAACCTTGGGTATTGGGGTTGGCATGTGTGCGGCACGTTGCTGATGAAAGCATGAAGAGGTTGTGCAAATAATCGTCCCCACATCGGCACGGCACAGTTTTGTAGGTTGTAGAGAGGATGACATGCAGTGTTGCTTTTTCCAGCAAGAGTGGAGCCCTTGAAACGAACAGGAGGCATAAAGAGCTGTGAAACTCTTCACAGCAATATAGGTGCCACTGGCTGGCATCAGCGTTTTCTCAAATCCCACCGAGGGTGTAAGCTTGGATTGCTGCATAAGTCAACATGACTGCGAAACTGATCCCATCTTCTGGTTAAATCCGCATGCGACGAGATTGAAAATTTTCTCGCATCTTGCAGATTATGAAATGAGGGGCGTTACGATGGCGTTACGCAGACGGGCAGGAGACATCTGCGAGATCGAATCTCCGCTAAGCCTTGCATTCGAGCAAGTTTAAGCTTCTTGACCAGTTCTATTTGGCTTGAGTGGCGGTGAAAGATTACAACTCGCAAAATCCGTCCTGAAACGAACAGAATGGTCGCTGTGCTAAACTTATTGAATGAGGAAGAGGTTCGAGAGCTGCGTACTCTAAACATCGATGAATATGCACCTCAGGATCCCCAGTCAATTATGTCGGTTCCGATTCCAACTCAAGGTGAGCTTTCTCATTTTAAAACTCAAGAAGTGTTCTAGTGAGTTCAAACAGAGGCACTGTGATCCATTGTATTCAGAACAACAAGCAAAAGCCAAAAAGACCATTTCTTTTCCTTTGCAGGAACAACAGGCTTCATTGACGTTCCGAGCAACAACTACCCATTTTATTCTGCAGAAGAAAAGTACAGGCCAGTCATGCAACAGGATAGTGGCCAGCTCTCAGGTTCTCCCTCGTCCTCCCAACAATTTCCCATACTTTAGTAACTCTCCATTATCATTCTACCAACACTTGTCCATGCTTCAGTGCCTTTCCAGTGCTTGAATGAATTGCTGGCACGCGACAGAGTGGAAGAGGATGTACGAGCCAAGTGCAGAGCAAGCAGAAAAGGACAAGCGCACAGCTTTCACCAGTGGTATCCCACATGGTGTGCAGTCTACTAGACCCCTCTCGTTTGCAGTATCATGGTGTCAATGATGATGTGAAGGCGATGCAAATGAGGAAAGCAATGATGCCCAGTGAGAGTCAATAGGCTAGGGCAGAAGCACCAAATTCCTCTACCGCATGACTGGCCACCGTGGTGACCTCTTGATGCTTGACAGGTTCCCAACAAGACGAAAGTCAGCATATCAGCAAAGATCAGATCACATTGAAGTTTGAGTCAGACAGTATCAACGTACAGGTGCGTATGGTCGTATGTATCCTCCTTGTGCAGATGCAAGGCGTTTGAAAATGACCGAAGTCCAGCTTGAAAAGGTTGGGAGTCAACCGTCAAAAGCATCTCAGAGCGATTCCAGCTACATGAGGGGGGTTGCAGGGTGGAGAATTGACATCTTTTGAGCTTCCAGTTAGTCCAGCAATCCGCATTGTGGACTTGCAGCGTTTGATAGCGGTGCGTCTGGACCACAATTGCCGATTTCTTCTTTTAACCTTCTGATCATGGTCCTCACTGAGTGGCAGTGAATTCGAGCCAGCTGAAATCCCTGAGACTGCTCTCCTCATTGACGGAGTCACGGCATGAGATAATACTGGCATTCAAAGTTGCGGTGTTACTGTGCATGCAAAGATAGGCTGCAGACTACTGTAGGCCCCGCAGATGTGGCTGCAAACGCCCTGTGTGTATGCCCCATGGCCTCTGGCTTTGGGTTTGCCGACCATGTAAGAAAAATAAGGATAATGATAATAATGAGGCATGGGAGGATTCTTGCGCGCAGGACAAGTTCGGAATTGCGCCTGGCTTGCAGCGGCTGTCCTACGCTGGAAAGGACTTCAATGATGCGCAGAGGACCTTACACCAGTAAATCGCTGCTCTTCCCTGCATTACATAATGTATACATTGTATTGCAGTTGCTCTGAAAGAATGCCAATTGATCATGCACCGAGTCACAGTTCCTTTGAGTAAGTCACAGATGTCGCAGCGAGGTGTAAATTTTTAAGAATGATGCTTATTGCTGTTGTGGTATGTGCTCCTCGCAGCTATGGAGTGGCATACTGGCACAGCAAGTTTCCGCACTGGCCAATTAGAATCACCTGGCGCTAGCCAGATGCTGCAGTCACCGACACATGTATTTTTGAGATCACACAAAGCAAGTCACTAAAGTGAAGAGAGCAGACAGACTTGCAAGACTGCCAGATGCAATAGGAGTTGGCATATCTGCTAAAATGAATGCAAGGAATTCAGCTGATTAGCGGGCCTTGAAGCAAGCCAGGATTGTAAATGCTGCAGCTGCTCAGTTATACATCTCGTTCAAAGAGGCCAGCAGGTCTCTCCGCTTCTTCTCTGCCTCGATGTCCTCCTTTGTCTTGTCAATCTTAAGGCGTATCTGCAAAACCAAAAATTCACACTCTCAAATCTTTCCACCCATGAAGAGAAAACAGTGTAGCAGTATAATTAGCGGGCATCGTGCTATTATTTGCTTGTGCACAAGTCTTTGAAACCACGCACCTTCTTCCCAGATATGACGCTGTACTTTTTTCCATCTCCATGAAGATGCTGCAGGTGCACAAATCTCTCAGAGCAGGCACACACGCAGATGGCTTCGCAGTTCGAGATGGCTTCGCATCCGAGACAATAAAGAACACAGGCATGAAAATGATTGCCAACAACTACATCTGCCAGCAATCACCTTGGAAAGCTGAACAGGCCCCTTGTCTTTGTCCTTTCCCTCTGACTTCCGCTTCTTTTTCTTGTCCTTGTCCTTGCTCTTGCTCTTCTTCTTTTTCTTAAGTTTCAGTGACTTGTCTTTCTTCTCCTTCTTCTCCTTTTTCCTTCTTTTCCTCCGTGATGTGTCGCTGCCATCCTCCGAGCTATTGGTCAAGTCCCCACACTTGAAGGACAAACCTCAGTAACGAGTGAGGTTGGAATAAACCCCAATTTCTGTATTACAACTCTGGCGTAAAAGAAAATTTCTAAAGTACAATACCGATCTGACGCCATGTTACCTGATTAACTGGCTTCTCTCCCTCGGTGGGTCAGCAGAAGCATCAGTGGCCGCATCGCCTTGTGCAGATGCTTCTGATCTGCTAGGAGGTGGAAGGGATCCATCCGGGTCAAGTTCTCTGGCCTTCTGCCTCACATCTGCAGAAGAAAAAGACAAATCTTTCACTGTGACGAACCAGTTTCCAAACGACTTCCACAGCCAAAAGCTTCAGAGGTTGGTAGAGCAGGCAGAGGCTCTCCCAGCCTGTGTCGCGTAGAAATTGGGCTAGCACAACAAGCGTATCATGTGATGCACACCCGTGTCGCTGTTGCTGGCGCTGGTAGCACCAGAGGAGACCTCACTCGACACATCAGAAGCTCCCATCCCAGAGATTGTCTGTCAACTTGCCGTGTGTCACTGCTTGTACAGTCCTACTTTTTCGATGGACTAATGTTATTGCTACATGCACAGCGGAAAGTGTTTGGCCTTTGGGATTAGCAAGAATCCAATTGTGACTTCTCAAGCTCTGGCCATCAATTTTGCCCAGTTCCAGATTCTGGCGTTCCCTCCATTTCCTCGGCGGTTTCACATGAAACCGTCATCGAAAGCGAAGGACTTCTAATTGGAGTCTCGCCATTCACTACACCAGGACAGAAACTTGAATTTGTCGTCTCTACAAAAATGTTGGGAGAATAAGTCCCGAGCCAACAGAGATGTTCTATTTTCAAAGAGCCTGCAGCTACAATCACCTTTTGCATTTGCATTAGTCTTTGCTTCATTCCGGGGTCTCAAAATTCTGGTGGAATCATAACATATTACAGGTCCTGTCACGATGCTTCAGTCACAAAGAGGAATGAAGGTGTTGGTGGTGGGCAGTCGATGCGTGGGGAAGACCTGCCTCATAAAACAGTTTTGCAGGTGCACATTCACGACGTGCTTCCCCGCATTATACACGACATTACGGGGCTAGCAACAAGCCATAAACACTGCTTTGGTTTCGCTGTCGTCATCTTAGCACACACTGTGCGAGACGCAGGGCAACATACAGCGACGAGTACACGAAGACTATGGGCGTGGACTTCATGGAAAAGGTGCAGCGTGTCGGCTCTGAAGACGTCAAGCTGATGTTGTGGGACACTGCCGGGCAGGAGGGCTTCACTTCGATCACACGCTCTTACTACAAAGGTGCACTCGCTAGCCTGCCTGCCACTGCAAGCATGGCCACTCAGGGACTCGCACAGTTGCTTTCGATCTACAAGCAATGGAATACTTAAAAAGGGTGAATGAACTGCTTGTAGGCGCTGAAGCAGCTGTCCTCGTCTTCTCGACCACTGACAGGGCCTCTTTTGAGGCACTGCCTGCTTGGAGAGACAAGGTGAAGGCCTGAACTTGCTAGCTCCACTCAAAGATCCCACCGTTTGCATGTGAGCAGTGTTTGCTACTCTGTCTCTCTGATCAGAGATTGTGCACATGTCGTGCGCGACCATGATGTCAAGGTTTAACATGTGCGCGGAAGTTTGTTCTCAGATCAGCAGCTATCCTCTGACGGTTTGTGCGCAAAGCTCGCAAGAAACTGTCGCAGCAACCACGTGCAACTCTCTCTGGAGGTGCAGGGGTTTCCCTGGCAATGATTGCTGCAACTTTGTTCCCCTTGAATTTGGAAGATAGACTTCAAATTTAATATGCATGCACTACATGCAGGTGTTGGACGAGTGTGGTGACGTTGCAATGGCGCTGTTACAGAACAAGGTGGACTTGATCGAGCAGTCTGCGGTGTCCAGCGAGGAAGTTGAAGCCATGGCGCGCCGTCTCAACCTTTGCCTGTACCGCGGCTGTGTCAGAGAGGACCTGAACGTTGAATCCGGTAAATTTCCCATCAATCATTCTTTAAAAATTCCTGTGCTTAGTTGAGTACCGTATTTCAGTTGCGATGACAAAATATTAATGCTGTAATGCAAATTTAGCGGAGTGCAACGAGAGACCTACATTGATGTCCACCAATGGGATGCTTTCTAAAGTTGAGGCGAGTTGCCGGCCGTGGACTTGGCTAGAAAATGCATGCTTGCAATGCTGGTTTCTTGTGAGGATTTGTGCTACTGCAATTAGTGTCATGGACGCAGACAATGGAAGTGCTGAATAGCAGAGGCAGATCGGTGTTTGTGTTCGCAGTGTTCACATATCTAGTGGAGCTAGCGGACAAGAAGGCCAACAGAAAAGCAAGCAAATATGTGGACAGCAGTGAGAAGCCTGAAAACAGCGGAGCTATGACTCCGAGGGCTCGTCTAAGCATGTCAGAAAGCATAAGAAACCAGACCCAGCAGAAGAAGCAGCAACCCAAGAAAGACCTTGTTTGCCTGCTAATGTAGATCTTTGTGTGCAATTACTGTACCACTACCTCATGCCCATTGTGTGGGAATCTGTTGTCTCAAGATCAGGATTAAACAGACGAAGTCTACACCTCCCAAATTTTCATTGTGCTTACAATTTTGAAAGAATGGGCGCACACTCTTCTGGAGGCGCGCTGGGAACCACTCAACGAAGAGATGACGTTTGCAATTTATGTGATTTAAGTTCCTAAGAGAATTCCCTGCTGAATCTGCCAATAACCAATGCGGTGCTATCAGCAGAAGAAGCAGCTCATAAACGGCCATTCGTGTTCCCAATGACTCTGTCCAGAACCGGCATGGCTTCAGGGGATGCGTTATATCTGGCCTGCAGGAATGCGCGCTGCATATCTCCCTTGCGGCCCTCCCTGCGGAGAAGCACTCCCTTTGCCAGATACCCTCTGAAGTCCGACGGGTTCTTATCAATGATCCGGTCATACACCTCCATCGCCTCTGCATCGTGCCTGTCCCACTCTGTGTACACCTGCAAAGCCACCCACATCAATTCATCAGACTCCAGCATTACCCATTGAGGCATTGCACAATTGAAAAGCCATTTTCTATGTGTTCAGGGCCTGCATTTCGGACCGTGTACGTTAAATGTAAGCAGTGCCCCATTGCCCAGTGGCCTTGCATTGTTCTCTGTCATGAAATACACAGCGTTACAGCATTGACAACAGTCCTCTCAAGACCATACTGCTTGACAAGCAAGCAGCTTGTCAACTCCTGATGAATTGACTGGGGTTGGATACACAGATTTTTTCTTTGAAATTAATGTTTCATGCACTTTGAAGGCGGAAAAAACAGCTCACCCGCCCAAGCAGGAGGTCGAGGTTCACAGCGTCCAGCCCCTTGCCGGATTCCGCCAGCTTCCGCTGCTCCAGCAGGTAGGCGGCAGCTTCCTGCTGGCGCCCATCCGCGACTAATGCCTCAGCTAGCCCTTGCATCAGCGTCAAATCTGGCTCGGGAGCCTCCGCTGCTGCGCGCTTGTATGCTGCCACCGCCCCCTTGAAATCCCCTGCCCCGCTGCGTACCTCCCCCTGCACAGTCAGCACACATGATGTGTGCGTTTGGACATGGCAGAAAGCTCCAGCTGACAATTAATATCGCAGCTTCAGGGTACTTCCCTGCTTTTCCTGAGTGATCGACACTTGGAGGGGGTGTTTGGTTTGGAGACTTTTGCAATCAAAGTATCAGGACAGTCATTCCTCAATTTCAGGACACATGCTTGGCTGTATCTATATCAGTCTATAAGTGTATCTGTATCAATTGCTAGCAGATTCTAGAGTTCTTCCCATTGACATGCAAGCTCTAAAAATCCCTCGTGAAAGAGAACATATGTACCGGAATGCAACAGTCTAGTGGCTTTGGCCTCTGCAGTAGAACCCAGATCTGCTGTGTCAGGTCTCGAAAGCTCAACCCAGCCTTGCTGAGTTGTCAAGATCCCTGAGGTTGCCATCAGCATAAGTTCCCATAAGCAGCTGGTGCTGATGTGGACCCATGCGCATGGCATCTCAAAAGACCTTCCCTTACCCAGTCAACCTGGGAAGGCTCTGATACCCGACAAGGCAAAACCTGATAATATCTGTTGGCAACAATGCTTGGTGGCTCACAGGCCACATTTCTATAATCACTGATCTTTCAACACATGCACATGTGGGGTCATGCATGCATCAGCAGCACTCTGCGAATGCAACCCGCTTTGACCCAGTCTCATGTTTGTCAGGAGCAACACATGCATTCATAGAATAAAACATTAAAAATAGGGGCTCACCAAAGCCTGCCAGGCGGCCAGGTCACTGGGGTCCTGTCCAGTCAGCTTTTCCAGGGCAGCGCCTGATTTGGCGCTGTCCCCCAGCGCAGCATACGCCCCGGCCGCGCGCCGAAGGGTGGATGAGTCAGCGGTCCCCCCGCTCAGCTGCGCCTCCAGCTCAGCAACCTCCCTCTCCAAGTCCTTCCTCTCCTGATCTCCCAACTTGCGCTCCTAAGGGATAAAACAAGATATAATCAATTTCTCAACTTCTGCTTCTGAGGGGAGCGCGAGCATACTGTATAACCTAAAGGATCACTACATATACTGATAGATGGGCAGAGACAAGAGAATGCACTTAGAAAACATACTATAAGAGAAAGTCATAAGGAAGATGCACAACAAAAAGCCATCAGGGAGGCCACTTGTGCCACATGCGCTGGACTGCATATTCATCTTGTTGAAGCAGGTTAAGAGAGATTACCTGCTGGCTGGATTGGGACTGTTGAGGGCCGCCGCCCAGATCACTGAAGCTGGTGACTGCAAAGACCGCTGCCAGGATGAGCGCGCCCGCCCCCAGAACAAACTGCAGCAGGTCCCATACCACTTACTATTCATCCCAAGCAATACTTTATGTGCATCATCCTTCACCATACGAGACTTATGGTAACGCTTCGTTGAATGACTATTTCAGCGAATTGGACACAGCAGGCGCTGAAGGAGAATCCACAGTTGCAGGTCAGTCCAATGCATGCCCAGCAACATCCCTGCACCTCTTGCTGATAAGAAGCCTCCACCCAGAGCTTTACGAGGCAAAGCCAATAGTCACTCATCAGCAACAAGGTGTGCTGATGAATCAAGTATCCCTTGAAGAATAAGAGTGCGCCCTAACATCCAGCAGAAAATGAAAGGGTGCGCCACCTGTCCAGGGCCAAAGCCGGCCTCCTCTTCAGCGCTCGCTTCGGCGCGTCGGCTGTCGGCTGACGGCCGTCGCGGCAATTGCGCCCTGCCGCCAGCGCTTGAAGAGGACGCGGGGGGTGCAGAAAAATCCGGCGACGCATCCAGAATGCTCAGGGGGCCTCCACCCTCAGCTGCAGACGGACCCCTCTCCTGCGCACGGCAGACATCTGCTGTTTAAAAAATATCACAAAATGGAGACGCTTGACCTTAGTGATCTCCAAAGCCTGTCTGATGCTGTTTGGAATTAAGTGAAGCCAAACGAGATCAGGCTGCTTCCAGCATGCCGCCTGCATGTGCACGTGATAGAGTCAACAGACTCGAAAACAAGCCCGTGCATAGTGCATGCTGACCTGCGATTCGCATGCATGCATCTGCCCGTCCGAGCAAGTGAATGTGCAGGCGCATGGGCCGTGATGCAGACAGCAGCGGAAGGCCCCAAGAAATGAAATCCAAAGGACATTCGTTTGTTTCTCAGGCCAATTTGCAAGTGGTATTTGCAGACCTCCTTGAAGTCATTTCATTGTGTGGTCTCCTTCTATAGAAAGCACAGAGTTTGGACACCGCATGCGCTGATGAGGGGGCGAGTGCTTCGGCTGAGCACCTTCATTTTGGCGCGGGAGTCGCGCTTCAGAGCTTCCAAGCGTTTCTGGAAGGCGACTGCCGGCTCATCCTCGCCCTTGGCCTTGGCTTCTGACTTGGTCAGAAACCGCTCCTCGATGCTGCGCTGCTCCTTTGGCGCTGGTTTCTGCTGCGTGGCCTCCTTTGGCTTACGCTGTGCCTTCTTGCCCTTCTTTCCCTCCTGCTCATTCACGCGAGACAACAGGTCGTTCCTCCTCTATGGAGCAGTGCTCCACTTTTTGATTAGAAACGTTGTCGGTACTCACAGCACAATCAGTGTGCGTTAATTGTATTTGCTGCCTTCATCAGGCCTCAAGGCTGTAATTCTGCGCCTTGTTGGACCTACCTTGACAGGAGTCTCTCGTTTTTCTTGGACTTTTCCAAAGCCCTGCCCCGCCATGACGTGCAACCGCATGTTTCTTCTCCGACCAGTTGCAATACATGATGGAAGAGTTCCGCATCCACAATGTGACGTCAGAGCCCCTTGAAACATGCTGCTGTCTGCAAAGCAGTACTACGATGCTTCCACCACTCGCTGCTGCTTGGATGCTTCAGATTATGTTATGTGCATGAGATAATATATAAAATTCAATTGCAATGTTTTGAGAGCATTTCACACTTCCTGCATTGTTGTGCAATCTTGTGATCAAAGCTGGATATGGTTCCACTGACTCACCTGCCACGGCGGCAGGGCTCGGACAATTTTCTTGCGCTACTGTGCAATTGTTCTGTACCCCACAGCATTACTGGAATTCTTGAGAGCAACTTGTGTGCTCGTTTCTGTGTCTGATTGTGTTGAGTGGTTTTGTTGAATTTTAGATCTTGATCGCACTGATCTGTTTAACTTGGGACTATTATATCAAAACATAAGCAATGGCAAATATTGTGAACGCCCCAGACTTACCTTCAGAAGACGATGAGGATGACGACTATGATCCAAGCAGGCAATGATATCATTTTTCTGCACAGTGTATTACTGATAAGCATGGAGTGTTTTAATTGCCAAGTGCAAGTCGTCGCTGGCATTGTCTCATCATCACAACTGTTTTACTGCGTTCAGGGATCCAGATGCAGAGAAGGAGGATGCCAATGGGAAGAAGGCAAAGCTTGCTGGTGGCAGATCGAAGCGGAACAGCGGCCAGATCGCATCAGGGGAGGACGTAGCAGACGAAGATGACGATGCAGACGCAGAAGAACAGCAAGAAATCGTCCCACACTCAAAGGCAGCCACCAAAAAAGCCAAGGTCAGAGGCATTGCTGTGCAAACACCGATGCTCTGCCACCATCCCTGGGAGATGCTCTGAGGCAAGACGATATTATGGCTGCAGGTGAATGCACTCTGGGACCAGCTGCAGCAAGGTTCCTCAGGAGCCAGAGCTAGCGATTCAGCAGGGGCCTCAAGCTCTGGGAACCCACCAAAAGCCCCTGCCAGGGGTGGGAATGATTGGGGTGCCCTCTGCCGACCCGTTCCCAAAGGGGCACCCAAAGAGGACAAAAATAGGGTGAGCAGACCCTCATTCTGCCTTGCTATGGAATATGACACACGAAAATTTAGTCCGCCATATCTAGAGGATCACCTGAGAAAATGGGGCCAAAGAGATATGGCCCAAATTAAGCTCGACATAACAGGGCTGGGGAGCTCCGCGTGACACCAAAGTCACTATTAGATGAAGGGTAGAGATTAGGAAGTCTTCAAGTGCCTATGTGCGGACCACGCTAGTTGAAGAACACTCTCATGTGCATTCAAATGTTGTGCTGGTACTGCAGAATTGGATGCTCCAGCTGGGGTTCAAGGGAGCTTCACAAGGGAGCAAGGGTGACAGCCCTGCACCAGCTGGCCAACTGCAGAAAGCGCCTTGCACGGGTGCAGAAACTGAAGGGGGCAGCGACAGACAAGAGTCTGGCCCATCTACTAGCAAGCCACAGTCCAGCACACAGGTCAGCCCCTGAATTCCATGAGAATGCTCAGCATGGGCTCCGAATACTCTTACAAGTCCCTCTCTAGTTGTTGTAGATGCAGGCTTGCCGCCAAGATCTGCAAATTGGTGCAGCGTTGCGCGTAATGGGTTGTTCACTTGCTGGACCTCCGTGTGAAGGAAGTGCCATGACCGCACGGAATGAAGTTTTCTGATGCATGTGCTGCTGGACGTACCCAGATCCTAGATCTCTATGAACTGGAAAATAAACATTGGATATAGTAACAGCAATAGCAATAGCAATAGTACTAACGCCAGAGTAATGATAATGTGAAGGTGCAGGCGTCAGAGTCAAAGCCGGCTGTGTCACTGGCGGCAGCTGCAATGGCGGCGGCAAAGGCGGCAGCCTCTTCATCCGCTAATGGCAAAATCGCCGTTACGGAGACTCGCAGATTTGCGGGCAAGAACATAGAGGTGCGCCCATTCTCAACCTCACACTATTACCCCTCCCAAAGTCTTCAGTCGCCTGCTAGTTCAATTCTGAAGCCTGCTGGGATCCCGCACCTGAATCCTCGCTGCTCTGACAGTAATTTACTCCAGAACTTGCAGCTAAAAACTCTGCATTAAAGGCTTAGAATTCTGTAGCAGGGCGAGTGGCACCTTGCTTCTGTGATGCCATTACGGGCATCCAGAGGTCCACCGAATCAGGACAATGCAGTCACACAGTATATGGTACTCCCACCCCCACAATCATCAAGTGCAAGGATGCAAAAATATCCTGACGCAGTACATACCTGGCGTGTCGCAGATGACGAGGCAGGTGTCAGTGTCGGCGGCGGCGGCCGAGGCGGAGGCGGAGAAACAGAAGCGCAACAAGGCTGGCTTGGACGCTGTGCTGGCATCACTGCAGGCTGCCAAGAAGGTCAATGTCCTCGACAAGAGCCGCTCTGACTGGAGCACCTTCAAACAAAGCGACACCCAGGCGCGGTCCCTATCCATATATTGGCATTCCGTTCATAGGCGCTCTTGAAAGCTGCTCTGGGACTATTGTGTGTGTGCCCTTTAAGATGGGGCACAAATGTGGCAAAGCAATGCATCATGTTGATGGTAGCCGCGCTCTCGAAGCTTGGCCAAAGCAGGCACGTGTCTGTAAAGCAAAGTGTGGAGAGTGCTGCCATTGTCATGAAGATTTGCTTTTATGCCGTGCGCGTTTTTCCTCCGTGTTCAGATTGTTTTTTACCTCCGTGAAGATAACAATGGCGTGAGGTTATCATCCTGCACTTTTCTTGATTTTTACCCTCAGGAAGGAAGCGGATAATATTATCAGCATGTCAACATTGTGCTGAGTGATTGCTCGATGTCTCCCTTGAATTCTGCGCGTCCAATGCTAATTTTTGTTACTTCTTCAGGTGGAGGAGGAGTTGGAGGCGTACAAGAAGAGCGGCGACAAGTATCTGGACAAGGTGGACTTTTTGAAGCGCTCGGAGCTGCGGCAGTACGAGAAGGAACGCGACGCACGACTGGCCGGCGACATCCGCTCGCGCGGCCGCCTCTAGCTGCTAGGCACTGCAGCCGCAGCGCCGCTAATATCAACTTGAAGTTCTACTTGGTTTCCGCAAGGGGGAGTGTTGAGATTACACCAGGTTATCTCCTGCCGTAATGTACTAGCGCAGAGATGGCTGCAGGGCAGGAGATTGCCCAGGCCACTGGCAATTCTCAGGCTTGCAGAGGCCTGTCCAGTTGGAAGTGGCCGGCCGGGGCCCGCAAACCCACGGGGCCTAGGCTCGATCGATCATGATTATGGTCAGGATGCATGCCCATGGAATCCGGAACGTCTCAATGCAAATAGCGAGTGAACTTGATAGAACAGCTTCCAAGATGTAATTGCATGAAGAGGAACCATATAAGCATCCTGGCTCCATCTCGCAACATCGCAATGCATGCACAGCTTCCGGCCGAGGCGCATCTGCCGTCGTGGCCTCACGATGTGGCTGCATTCCCCACTGAGTCACCATTAAAGGTCTGTGCCCCAGAATTGTCGATGCTGTTCGGAATCACCCAAAGATACCTTTTCTTCCAGACTACACCAAGTACTTCTAGATACTTGACTAATTTCAATTGCATCATGGACGCACATGCTCGGTCATCCGGAACTCTTAGCTGCAGCGGGTCGCAACTGTCCCAAGACAGCAGAGCATGCTTTGTGCACCTAGTGTCTCGCCCAGCACGACTCAGAACACGCAGATCAGCAAGCAGGGCTTTCATTGATACTAGCGAACCAGTTTCAGCGTCAGTACAGCACGACCAGGAAAGCTTTGGAGCGTCTAGACACAGATTGTATACAGAAGAGGCAGATCTGAGAAGATCGCATTCTTCTGATGGGCCTAGTATCTTGCATGCTCATCAATCAAGAAATATTGCTCGAGCTGCGGGATTCGCGGCTGTGAGCATAGCAGCGCTCCTGCATCCCAGCGATGCCCAGGCGTCTGAGCTCTTGCCACTGGACCTCTTCTCCAGCTTCCTGGTGGGCATGCATGCTTTGATTCGTAATCTTTATCACATTTGCTTAGTAAACTTAGCAGGATGTGCACTGACAAAGGAGTACTCTGTAAATCACGAATGGCAACTGTCCCTGTAAGATGCTATCCGAGTACTATGTTCTTACAAGAAGACGTCTTTGTGTCCTCTTGTGCATTAACAACGCTCTTGCCTGTAGGATGTCTGCAAGGCAAAATTGTTCACACTGAGACGCCAGTTATTTTCTTATGTGCAGGACAAAGTGCATGAGCTTGGTCCATGGGGGCCAGCACTCTTCGTGGTCACTGTTGTGGGCTGCGAGATGATACCCCTCTTCCCCACACAGCCCCTGGCTCTGGCCAGCGGCCTGCTTTTTGGGCCTGTCGAGGTGGGAAGCACCGTTTCTGTCCTACACGTGTCGCTTTCCTCTGACCCTCAAGAGACAGCACGTTGCCTCTCCCCCGCCCGCGCAGGGGATTTTTTTCAACAGCATTGTTGTGTATGCATCTGTCAACTCAGGCTCAAGCACCTTGCGGCCTCGCCGCCTTATACCTTGGTGGTTGCAGCTTTTGCATGATATTTATGCGCAAATATGTCGTCACTATTGTTGTTGCGTGCATTAGGCTACGTGTGTCTTTCTCCCTTCTCTAAGTATAATTCTTTGGCTTCTCCTTCAGTGTTCTGTTTTCTGGTCACAGGGGGCTGCATGTACCATTGTAGCTGCAACGCTGGCGGCGTCAATAGCGTTCACAGTGGCTCAGGGGCTGGGCCGCAAGTTGGCAGAGCGTATCATAGACAGCGAGGTTGGCGGTGAGTCATCCCTCACAAAAGGGGCTCTGGAGAATTGCATGCATGGCAGCTGACACCATGTACAAGAGGAGAATTTGATGGTGTACCAGAGACATTTGCTTGACAGAAGCTGTGCTCGAATTGAGGAGCTGGATGCAAATCTGCCGTCCTTACAGATCCCTCACAGGACGGGCATGTGATGTTAATTTAAAGAAAATGCACACCAACAGTCCTTGAGGCGGATATGTGAGCAGTTCATATATTGAGTATACATCGCTACAGAGTGCGTAGATGAGTGATGGCCTTGCCTGAGCATGTACAGCTAAGGTGGCTTTAAAGTGAAGTTAATGGCAATGCCATTGACACTAAAAAAATAAAAGCAACAAGTGGATGACATACGCTTGACTCTAGGTGAGTCATCTGGGGGCAAAGGGAACGCCGCGCAGCAGGCGCTGGCGCGAGTGCAGGCGAGTGTGGAGAAGGGTGGCTTCTGGCAGCAGTACTCGGCCGTGCTCGCCCTGCGCATGACCCCTGTCGTACCCTTCAGGTACCCCTTTCATTCCTTGTTACCGTGTTGACGCCCCTTGCCCTCTCATGTAATTTGCTGGCCTTCATGAACTAGATGATCTCTACTCGGGGTTCCGTGCATCAGCATAAATGGACTCGATTAAAGATGGTGGAAACCTCCTATGGCTTGGCAATTGCTTCCGGTGGTGTCCCGATAGTACTTTTCTGAGAGTTCCAATAGACTGCGTGCTTTGAAGGAAATATGTATACAAGGGCAATACACTCCAGAGCACTAGGCAAGAATAGAGGTCGCCTGAGTCGTGGACATTTTCAGATCCACTGCTTCATTGAACTTCCTAATCCATCTTGTTTTCACCAAGCCATTCTGCAGACTGGAGAGCAATAATTCAGGTGTTGCTTGACGTACCTAGTCCTTGAGGACTGTAAAACGTGTAATAATAATAATAATAATTCTGCATGCAAAAGCCTTTGCTGTGACTTCCGTGCCCATTGTTAGACCTGCATGCACAGTAAGCCCATTTATATATTGCAATTTTTGGTTTCTGAACATCTGCTTGACTGGTGCTGCAGCGCTTCCAGCTACCTGCTGGGCCTCTCATCTCTCCCCTACCAGCCGTTCCTGATGGGCACACTCAGCGCGATGGCCATCTGGGGGCCGCTGTATGCGACCATCGGAGGCGCCAGCCGCGCAGTTCTGCAGAATGGCGGCAACCTGGGAGAAGTTCTGTCAGGTGATGCTCGCTGCACATGTCAGATGACACTCAAAGACACATCGGCGACCAAAAGCTTGAAATGTGCAGGCTGATGAATTGGAAACTGTAGCAAATTGGGTCTCAGCGAAAGAATCCACACGGATAAAATCTGCCAATAATGCTCGAGTCAGGTGTTACTGTAGAAAGGGACTCCGCCCCAACAACATGCCCTACCAAAGTTGCTGTCCTGGCAATTCTGTCGGGGGGGACATTGAAAAGGTGCAGCAGCATATACATAGTTGATGGGGCACTTGTGCAAAGCTTGCTGGCCAGCAACAGGTACTGCAGCTGACAGGCGTTGTTGTGACAGAAGGTTCATGGAGGTGCCATCCAAACTATAGAGCCCCACATGAAGCACAGCTGGCACTTAGGCTGACTTTTTCTCTTCTCATGCGCAGATCTGCAGGCGCGCACAGGGCAGTACACAGAGAAGGCCGCAGTGATCGGACTGGTGCTGGGGCTCATTACTCTGGGTTTGTGGTCAACTGGGGTCATCAAGAGCCCCGACTCGCAGCCGAGGCAATAGTTGGAAGCGCTGGTGCCATGGCAGAAATTGACATCCGGCAGCAGGAAGTTGCTGAGAAGCTCCTAGGACCTTGCAGCGCTATATCATGTAAGCAGTGGCATCCTCAGCGTTTCTGCTGCACTGCATGCTGTACTTGCGCAGAGTCGTGCTCATATTTTCATCACTACAGAAGAATCACACAATCCGGTAGTCGTCCCTGCTTCGAAGAGGCAAGGCATGTTCTGTTTCTCAGAGTGAGAAGAGTGGACTCGGGGCGCAGTTAGCCGAGTGGTGGCGCACGGCAGGTGGCTTTCAATGCATGCCCACGAATATGCGCCTAGTTTCTTTTGAGATTCAGTGGCAAGAGGGAATTTGGATATCGACAATTAGAGTCTACTGAATCTGTAAACCGATTGGATTCAACAGCATGGTTGCTTAGGGTTGCTTGGCGGCAGTGACAACAATGTCATAGAGTGTTGTAACAATTGCACGTTTCAAGCATGAAGTTGAACCGCGCTGCATACGCATGACTTATCGGGACACACGTGAACCTTCCTGCTTGTACACACCAACCATGATCACCATGTGGCTCATACAGACACATGCAAGCGGACTGTCATCTGAATCTGGTGTAATGTCAAACGGACGAACGATCATCATGCCAATCATGATCATGGTCATGACAGCAGCCAAAAGTCCACATGCCTCTTGTAACATTTCTTGGCTGAAGTATAGTGTACACAATAGTGACTATACTATAGTATGCAGATGCAGCAAACCCCAATATGACCGATTGCGGCACACTTGATCTGCATGTCCTGACAAGCTAGCTGCCTACACATACTGTATATGCGCTAGTGCTCGGCAGCTAGCAAATGGACCTAGCTCTAAATTTTACAGGATCTAAAAGGCCTATATCTACAGGGTACACGTGGTTTTCAGCAGCTGGTAGGCTGCCTGCACCTCTTCAAATTTTTCCTCGGCCGATCGCTTGGTAGGACCCGGGTGCCTGTCAGGATGCCACATCAGCGCGCACTTTCTAAATGCCTCTTGTAAGGCCGCAGATGTCAGCGCCGCTCTGTGACTCAGCCCCAGCACGCGCAGGCTCTTGCTCTGCGCAGAATCTGCACAACGCACTTCTGCATGTCACTAGGAAGAACCGATGCGAAGAACCGATTGGCACAATGGTCCGCGCGATGGAAAACTTGTGGTGGGAGTGCTGCGATGGTATTGCAGAGTCAGGGATTGCCAGTAAATCAGGAGCTCAGAAAACCTTTCTTGCCAACTTGCTGAGAGAATAGATCTTGAATCTATTGTTAATCACGCATTCTGCATGTGTGCATCTTCAGGAGAATTTTTTCTTTCTGCTAGCATCTAAACACGATTCGAATGGCAGACGAGGGAAGCATTGTGTGACTGTGCCTTTAGGATGTCACACCTGCTGGAGTTTGGAGCGCCTGCTGCTGCCAGTTACTTGCGCTCTCAGAGTGTGTGCTGGCCCGCTGTCCGTGCTGGGTCCATGTGTAGCTGTAGCTCCACTCACCCTCATTCCCTCCCAGTCCGCTCATTTTCCAGTCCTGGACAAAGACAGCGCAGCGCGTCAAGCTTGAGCTAAACCATGTGTAGCAAAGCACAGTTGTTGATTTGGCTATACTCTAAGGGTTTAATGTCGTGGGGCTATTACAGGTCCTTCAGCCTGACAGTTTAATCCAGGTTTCTTGGAAGGGACATGATCGATTTGTGCGCACGCTCGCATAAAAGCACATTTCTGACAGTATCCAATGTAGGACACTTTTGAAAACCTTTTGACTTGATTGGAGAGCACCTCTGTCCAGTTGTAGGTGGAGGTGGCACGCCCGCTGGACCCCCCGGCGGTGGCCTCTGTGTAGAAGGCATAGGCCGGGTGGGGGTCCCATTCCTGCTGCCGCGCCCTCTCTCTCCCCAGCTGGGCTGCACCTCCCTGCTTCAGCCACTTCATCCACCCTGCAAAGCGCATGTCAGGCAGAATTTTACATCTCAATATTTACCAATTCAAAGAGTGATGAGGAGCATCTTTCTGAGAGAATCTGTAATGCCCGAAGGTTCCCTTGGCACGCTGCAAAGAGAGTTACAGCCTATGAGTGAGTCCTCAGTTTTGGTTTTGGCAGCAGACACGCATGCTTGGACCTTTTGATGTAAAAAGAGTTCTTGTACGATTCTGCAATATATCGAACAGGGAGAGCATGATGCCTCACCCTTCTTCTGCCTGCGTGTGGCTTCCACACTCCTGGTCTGTCCAACAAGCCATTTCCAGAGCTTCCTTTCCGCTCGATGCATGGCTTGCTCCTCAGAGACATGGGTGTGCACCTGTGAACACAAATCCCTCTCAGCCTTGAAGCTTTCAATCCCTGAGTCACAGAAGCCCAGTATGCAGCATCATCTCTTGTCTGGTGTGCATGTTTATATAATGGGAGCAATGCCAGCAGCTGGTGCTTTGTAGGAACATAATGGGCACGATGTCTTGAATTCCTGAGCCACAGAAGCCCTGTACGCAGGATCATCTCGTGTAAAATGTGCCTGTGATCGGAGGGGAGAGGCAATGTCAGCTAGCTGGTATTTGGTAGGAACAGAACGGGGAGGAAGCACAACATGCCTCCTCAGCTCGGCCCCATCCAGCGCTCCCACAAACCCCTTGCCACTTCCTGAGGACGCTCCTCTGTGCCTGCCGCTTCCTTCGCTTGGCCCTTCTTGTATCCTCTTTGTTGTCCTGCAGATGTCCACATGACTGATGCCCTCAGCACCCTGCCAGCTGTCCTCTGATGCGGTTGTAGATCTGATTGGTAATATGCAAATAGCGATGTCCAGTCTAGAATCATAATTCCTGATTGCTTGATCTGGCACAGGGGCCAACAAGGGTGGACTCTGAAAAGGGAATCTCGCACTTGATGGAAGAAGGAACCGCAAAACTTGGTACGGTGCTGTATGAAGGAGCAGTACAAAACGCTGTTCGATCGTAGGAGGCGCTGGACGTCCTGCATCGTTCTGGGCAAGAGGCAGCCTCTGACAGGCAAAACGGAGAAAACTGTCACATCGGGCTCAAATGGCCCTAGATCCCTTAACTTATCAGCATATGTAGCAATTCGTAAAGGATCACAAAATGCTGAGCTTTGATTTTTGTGCAGCTGTTAAAGATTGTTTTGGCGTTGAAGTGCTGGAGCCAGCAAATTCATGTGGCACCAAGTTTGGAGATGCTTGTTTAGGTCCTTGGATTTTGATACGAATTCACTCCTGCCCTTCGATTGTGATTATGTTGACGCAATCGCTGTTTAGAAATAATTAAGATAGATTGATACTCAACTGTGCCACCAAAAATCTCAAATCTCGAATCTCGCAACGCCAGGCATATAAGAAAATGGAACCTGCTTACTTCAGCATTGAGTTTGAGCCTGCGATGTGCGACCACATAATTTCTGTATACGGTTGAGTTCCTTCACAAATTAATCCGGCGGGGAGATTTTGATGATGGAGTCCAATATTCTCTCGATCACACGTCATGATCGTGGCAAATTGCACTGTACTGTAGACGAAGCTGTCAAGCTCACCAGTGATCGACTTTACATTTGGATGAGAGGTAAGTGATCTGAAATTTTACACATGGACATATAGGCCCAAGGACATTTTTCCTCACTCCCCGGATGGCTTGATCAACTGCTGATCCTTGAAGAGTTACGTACAGACGCACTTGGAGCGGCCAACGCAGAGGTGCTCACAGAAGTAGCTGAGCTGCTGAAGCCTGTGGCAAATAGGAAGCCTCGCCTGGATGTGGTGCCGTTGTTGCCTTTTTCCAGCTGGTCGCCAGGTATTTGGCATGTGCCTATCTAAAAGCACCATTTTGCGTCCAGAATTATCATACACGTAGCAAAAAGTTGTGCACATCCAGCTTAAATGGTCTTAGAGGTTTCTGCACCTTGCAGGGAGCGTTGCAAGCCTACCAGATCTGGGAGGCGTCCTGTTGAATCCTAGTGCTTTGAAGGCTGGAAGGGCTCTTGTGGATCAGTTGAATCAATTAAGAAGTACAGATCTGCCTCTTCTGCAAGAAATTATACTGCAAGAACGTGATGCAGCATCAGATGACAAGCCAGGCACGCTGATTTGCCCTCAAATGTCCTGTCAAATATTGGCCAAGCCCATGTCTTGGCCCAAATTTGTGCAGCACGTCAATGGACAAGGTTCCGCTGTCCTTGGCCTCTCTTCTAATTAAGATGCAGGGAAGGGAGGGTTATCCCAATTGTTGCGTTGCAGGCGATTTGCCAGATCGAGAGGAGCATGCATTTTCTGAGGTTATTGCGCAGCCGCACAGCAGCCTTGCGTTTGAGAGTGTGGCCGTCGGGGGAACATTTGACCGGCTCCATGTGGGGCACCGCCTGCTGTTGGCAGCTGCAGCACTCGTCTGCACGCAGCATGTGTATGTTGGTGTCACAGGTGCTCCATTTGCCCTCTTGGGTACAGCTCCTATTTACCTGCTCAGCAAAATGCTTGGCGAGGCCATCTTGGAAGCTTCACGGTTGCACACTGAAGAAAGCATCTGCGCACAACCACTGCATGTCTTGCAAATTGCACGGACATCGCAGGACAGCTACGTTCTCTGCCGTGGCCCTCGCAAAGCTAAGCAATGATCTTTTCTAGATCTCGAGGGCATTGGATGCTGCTCACCATGCACCTGTGTCTGGGCTGGGCAGGGGACAAGTTGCTTGAGAAGAAGAAGCACCACGAGCTTTTGGAACCGTACGAGCAGCGCACAGCTGCGGCCGTATCCTACTTGAAGTCAGTGCGACCAGGGCTCACTGTACAGACTGGCGCTCTCCTTGACCCCAAGGTACACCACTCTTGTATACAGGCCACCTGTATTCCTCACAGACAGCACATCAAATTTACATGCGCAATTTCTAATTCTGGATCAACCTGTCAGAACGAAGTCAGAGCAAGGCGGATCTGCAATGGACCTGCAATGGAGGACCTGCAAGTGAGCTCAGCCCACGGATGATGCGGGGTTTTTGCTTTTTGGCCAATTGATCTCCGGTTCTTGTCATCACTTGGCTCGTGGATTATCTCTATCACATTCCCCCAGGGATCCATGGGGTTCGTATATAATAGATCGTGAAACTTTCAGCCGGAGGCAAGCAAAGAGATTTCTAATTTGTAGTCATTTTAGGTGACAATAAAAAATGCGGAGCGTCAATCGAGTCGATAGGCCATGCGGCCGCTGCGGGCGCACCTTCTTCTCGTGCATGCCAGAGGGTGTATCAATGGGGTCTCTTGCGCGCCACAGTGTTGGGATAATGAAGCTTATCGAGGTCACGCGCCACATTACGTAAGTGTGACATTACAGGAGCCCACGGCAGCAGCGACGGTGGAGGGCATGCAGGCGCTAGTGGTGTCAAAGGAGACTCTCTCCGGGGGCGAGGCCATAAACCGGTACCGGCTTGAGCACGGTTTCAAGCCCCTGGAGCTCATTGTGGTGGACCTGGTGGCGGACAGCGCTGCAGTGGATGGGGGGAAAGTCAGCTCCACTGCCCTGCGCGAGCAGGACGCTACCGCCGTTGCTGCTGCAGGTGCAAAGCAGAGCAAACAGAATGTATCTTCGGACTGGCATCCATAGATCGGTTTTTACTTCTTTGATTTAGCCTCTACACTGGTCTGTCCAGCCTCTGAACATTTCAAGTGGGCTGGCGGATTCACTTAGTGAATTTCTTTGTGTCTTTGTGCTCAGTGGGTATCAAGCGGTTTGCCCTACACAATCTTCATACTGCTCTGGGCTGAAGGGGTGCAGTATACAGACATGGTGCAATGCAAAGATTCTCAAAGTAGCCGATTCTTGTGGAGGCTTGGCATCAAAGGGTTTTGCACGAGGCGTCCAGAAGACCTTATGATGGATCATCAGCACACATGCGAGAATGCAAAGGTGCAGTGAATGTGGTGTTGACATGAATGGTATGTTGCCATTATAGCAGATTGTCAAAATATGCTCTGAATCTCTTCACGCTCTCAAGCAACCATCACATCATGACCATTCCAGCATTAAGGAGTAGACCCAGCAGATTAACACCAACGCTTCAAAAATTTAATCATCCGTAGCGCAATCACCACCACAGAGCCATCCTAAACATGGATCGCAGAAGAACACAGACAAATACCCCAGAGCAGATGTACTGTGTACCTTGACCTGATCTAACCACCACCACCCACCACCAGAGATGCAAGTGCAATGCTTGACATGCAGATATGGCATGTTGTGAGAGGCAAGCAGTCAAGACAGACAGAAAAGAGGGAAGGAAGTTACCTGTCATCTGAACAAGCTCCACAACTTGTAGCATTACCTACTGGATCTGCATGCAGGCCGAGAGTTCACCCAGTGCACGAGCGAAACATGCAAGATACAGCTTGTAAAAAAGGAAACATCTAGAGCAGTGACGTGCGCGCTAAGGCAAGATTCAAATGTGTACAGGGGCCAGACAGGAAAGAGAAGGGATTGGTAATGTACCTGGCCAGTAGCTTGCTATGTCCTGAGGGGCCTAAATCAATTAGGCCCCTTAGCAAGTGCCAATAGCGCCATTTGAGGACAGCGCTGCAGCCTTCGCCTTCTGGTAGGCTTGCACGCGGCAATCAAGGTAGCCGCCACAATAAAGGAGGACTCTCTAGGGAAGACCTCCAGTGCTCAAGCAGCTTCCCCACTTTCACAGCGCGCAAGCCTTCTGGTGGGGACGCGCCGTACGCCCTCAACGGGCACCGGCGCGCCCCTTTCACAGAGCAGGAGTATTGGTACATCACCAAGACCCCTGCCTCAAATCAAGACGCCCCTGCCCGCAAGGGCAGGCCACGCCCTGACTACTTGTGCGGCACACCGCTGCTGCTGTCTCATGCTGACGGGCTTCGTCAGCTGTTACATAGCGGCTGCAGCCCCCCCAAGGGACTTCAATGCCACAGCGGGGGGGCCTATGCCTCAGCCTTCAGGAATGGCGGGGCAACGGGCTGAACCCACATCGCTGAAGAATCATCTAGCTATCCTCCTCAGCTGAGCCATGTCTGGCAGCCATCTCCAGTGCCGTTTTCTCTGTGGCCGCTCTGCATCTGCGCGGATGCGGCCCCGGGACTGTCGCTGCGCTCCCTGAAGCCTGGCTTGTACGCGAGCCTAATCAAAGGCGACGCGCTGTCTTGCGGCCTCCGTGTGAGGGTGGCCGCCGCTGGTTGTGCGGCGCCCTGTGTTTGTTGCCCTTGTAGGGCATTGTCACACGAGGGCGTTGCACTGACACACTGAAGAAACCAGACGGTTGCATTACAGGCTGCTTCTCCGCACACCGGCGCGGCGAGCCGGATAGCCGGCATCCGCCCGCGCCGGGGCACAGCACTGCCCGAATGTCTCTCTCACTGCATCGACTGAGCTGAGCAAACGCTGATCCGCTGCTCGCATGATCTGCAAGGGACATCTGTCCGCAGCATGTCATGCTGCTGGTTGTGTGAGCAGGTGCAAGAGCCCCGGGGTCCCTGGACCCCGAGGTCAAAGCTCCCTCACGATCTCGAGTCACCAGACACTGTGCCACCCTGGAACGCTGCGCCTCATGCGCAGCGCTTTGAGCCCAGGGGGAGCTTCTGGATCCAAGCATAGCTGAAAGTGTGCCCTCTCAGCGGCACACTTGCAGGTATGTTCCTCTGCTGGCGGCTGGCGTGGCAGCATCATAGCCGCGCACCCTGCCGTGCAACAACTGGTCTCTAGGCTTTTCCGGCTGCGCTGAGCTTTCAAAGCCTAGAGGTGTACTCAATCCACGAAGGAAGAAGTACCTGCGGTGCCTGCATGCCGGGGGACATGTGATCAGTTTGGCACAGCTGCGTGGTCGACACCTGCGAAATTTGAGCATGCCTCACGGTGGTGGGTGGCGGCCTACTCCTAACCTATCACCCTCTAACTTAATCCTGCCATCTCTCTATCCCTAACCGAGAATTATCTGCCGGCAGTGATCGCCTCATCAGAAATTGCATCACGTAGCAGCCGCACAGATGAGGCGCTGCTGCTGATCCTGGATAAGGTACTGTGAGACCTGCGAGGCAACAGTTATTGTCTTCACAATGCTGTAAACACGTACCGCCATTTCTTTGGAAATTGGTAGGAAGCTCAACAAGCAACATGACAAGACGATGGCAACCGTCACACCAGCAAGAAGGACATGCATCGTATCTCGCATGGCATTGACCTTATTGAGGTGAAGCGGAACGCAGACGCTTGAGGTTATCCCGTGTCCTCGTGTGAGACTGCCTTGTCGGAGGCCTTGTCAGAGGCCTGCAAACAAAGGTAGACAACGTTAATATGCACTTCCCACGGCCCTCAAATGCCCCGGCAAGACCACTTAACAAAGCAAAATATTATGGCAAATTTTTTTGTGCACGACGCGCAAACGAGCAGATCCACCCTGCTGCCACCACTCTGGCAAGCATTATGGACCTTCTGGAAGTTGGGAATGAAGACAAGGAAACAGGAAGTCCAAATAACGCAGACACCGCAGACCCCCAAAATGACCAAATAAAACGACTATGGTTCGAGATCATAGGATTCCAAGAGCAGCTTACCTTGGAGGAAGGTGGAATTTTTTCTCAAGCAAGTGTCCATCTGTAGGGCGGCTAGTGGGGCAACTAGGCTTCAGGGCGCTCAATACCTCCACAAGGGATATCTTCTGTGGCGGAAGAGCCAATGCCATATGTTGTGCAGATTCGGTCGAGTTGACCGGGTCGACGAATGGCTCGAGGGCTTTTTAGAAGGCAGAAAACTGCACGTGGTAGCATTCTGCTGGCACGAGCGCTCAAGACTTATAATGGAAGCTTGGCCAGAAATGTCATGAGTTTGTGCGTTCCTTTCTTCTTCTTCTTCTGATCAGCGTTCAAAGAATCGAAAGCGTACATCACAGCCCTTTTTACTGGGTAGTTCCTTGCGATGCATGCAGGCTCACCTCTCAGCGGGCTGCAAGGCCATAGAGCACGTCTCTGTTCAGTGATCCCCTTAAGACACCATTGCATATCATCTTCACACCACCAGCCTTTTAAGTTGACATATGCAAAGCCACAAGCGCGCAATGCCCGGGATCAGAGACCTGCCGGCAGGTTTGTGGTCAAGGCAGAGGCATCGGCAGGGAGCAGTATTGCAGCGCCCCAAGCGAACACTAGCACGTCAAAGGATTGGGAAACATTCCAGAAGAATGCATCAGGCGAGTGGGAAGGAATTACTGCAACCTTCAACGCTCAGTGAGTTCTCTGAGCCCATGCACCAAAAAGGCCATAGATGCTTTTGCGTCCCATTCAATGCATACAAACTGTGCTTTAATATTTTACATCACTCATTGTATTCTTGTCCGTTCCAGCATGACCTCTGCTGCCATTGTAATCCGTGTTTAGGCTATACTTAGGCATCACTTGAGTGGTCATCTTCGCAGGGGTGAAGCACTGGAACTGCCAGAGCGCTTTGTGCCCTCAGCCTACAGGGAGTGGGAGGTGCACCTGTTCGACTGGCAGTCGCTGTGCAGCATGCAAGTGCTCGGGGAGGAGGGTCTGCAGTACAGCCTCAAACGCATGATGCCCACCGTTGGGGTGAGCACTTGACAGCATTGCATACTTGTAATTTCTGACTTCTACTGACTGAGCAAATATGCATCACCTCTTGGTGCTCAACTTCCTGCACTTGGTCGGTTTTCTTGTACAGTGCAACGAGTCCCTGTGATTTTGCTAAGTTGTACAATGCCACTGTGTCTACACGTCGGCCAAAATACGCCAGACATACCCAGACAGCAAACAGGTTCGATACCCATAGTAATACAGTACTGTCGTCATGACAGTGTCTTGTGGTTCAACATGTTATCCCCACGTGCCCTGTCCGTTCCAGTGCGAGGCGGACGCAGTGGCGTTCACAGAGGAGGCGCAGAGGGGACTGAGCGCAGCAGAAGTCTCCAGATCTGGCAGTACAGACTGGCCAGCTGGCTTGCCATGGACCGCAGACGGCAGCTATGCGCTCGTACCGCACGAAATTACAGCGGAAGAGTCAAATGTGCGGCTGGAGACTTGCCTCGTGCGGCCCAGGACCGGGCCGCTGGATGCTCAGCAGCGCACGAGGCTTGTGCACCACCTGAGGCGGCAGGCTGAGACCGGGGAATGGCAGATTGACAGTGTCGAGGTGATTCTGTCTATTACCAGTCGCTGCTCATTGTTAGCCTGCAATCGTTGTGTCATGCGCATTGTGGGTAATTAAAAACTCAAGACCTTGCATGCAATACAAAACAGGCCTGACCCATCCCCCAAATGCCCATACGATCTAGCACATAGGCCCCTCTATTACTCCAGGTCAGACCTCCTAAGGTGGCATGCTGAATGGTGACCAAGCGATAATTAACTGCATTGACGTGGTGCCGGCAGGTGCACCACGAGCGCTTCCTAGCGCCGTACAACGGCGGCGCTGAGCTGGCGGGCTGCGGCGGGGGGATGTCGGCGTTCGCACAGAAGCGCCCGGATTCCGAGAAGCTGGCGGAAGCTGCGCGGCGCGCCGGGGACGGCTGCGGTGCTGTTCAGCTTGTGAGAGAGCAGAGCGGCGGGTTTGCGCGGAAGAGCGGCAACTTTTCCATAGAAAGGTGCGGTAATACACGTCTCATTTTGTCACATCAAGAACTGTTAACCTCACTTCATATGGGAGGTTTTCAGACTCTGTTCAGTGCACTGCTGTGCTGCAGCTGGCAGGCCGGAGGATTTTGTTGGTTTCTCAGGCTTGTGGTCACATAATGAGCTCTGTTTTCGATGGTAACGCATCAAGGCGTCCTCTTGTTCATGTAATATTGCATGCATTTGCTGAGCATAGATGAGGCCGGGTAGCATTTTGGAAAACTGATGTGTATGGACTGCTTGGTGCAGGTTGCTGTCAGCTGCAAGTGAGGAAGGGCTGGTGCTGGCCAGCAGTGTGGTGACATCTGTTAACAGCCCAGATTCAAATTCGATTTCAAATGGCGCACCAGGGTTGACGCTTACCATAGCAGTGCTGCATGAGCGTCGCGAAGAGAGTATTGAGTCAGTAAGCGCGGCAGTGGTGTCTTATCTGGATGGAAGCCTTCAGGAGGTGTCATTTGCAAGTCAATCTCTTTAGCGTTAGCATATGAGAGTGCCATTTATACCTGTGCGTGGATTATTCCAGAACCACGGAATTTCAACACTGCCACAGATTTATTGATTCGAGGACCCCACTGGGTTCCAGAGACTGGGCCACCCAATTGAGTTGATTGACAAAGCTGCTTGCAGGTGCTCATTCGCCTGTTCCACCGTGAGAAGGAATATATATGATGACTCAGACAATTACACACCTTTCCAATAGAAAATGTTCAGAGAGTGTCTCGGTGCTTCCCAAAAGGTTGCCTCTGACAATTATAGTGCCCAGACCTCGGATCAGCCAAGCAGTGTCTCAACAGTCTCAATGCGCAAGGCCGCTATCTTCCTGATGGTGTGTCTCAGGCACACTCTGTTGACAGAACATCAAAAACAAACTGTGTCAACATAAATCCCTGCTGATCAGGCGCGAACATGTCAATGGGCGGTGCAGCTGCTATCATGGCAGCGGCAACCCTCAAGCTTGGGGATGCCAGATTTCGCTTGGCCTCCTTACAAAGCAAAACCACAGAAGATCCCAGCTGTTTACTGGTAAACTCAAGCCTTCGTGGAGTCAGAGACTTGTCTCAAAGTAGCAACACTCTTCTTCAGGCATACCCTGCCAAGTAATGCAGCTGTGACATTTTTGCCCCAGTTGATTTCTCGACTGGGTTCCTCCACAAAGGCAGCTATTCGGGAGCTTTCCCTGCCAAAATCCGTTTCGCAGCTGCTTTACCGACAGTCTAGCCAAACCAATAACTCAAAATCCAACACAACCCCAATAATCTCCAGCGTGATTTTCAGCTGTTCGGGGGCAATCCCGGCCAAGAAGTCAGCTGTACTGAAGCGTTCTCTAAGAAAGAGGGCCCCGCAGCTGCTTTTAGGTGGAGCCAGTCCTTGTACACTTACGTTATTGTCTGACATCCCAAAAATTTCGCTTCCCCTCTACTGCTGTGCACTTGACTGCTCAGAGGCACTGTCCACCCCGCAAAGGAATCGCCGCGTAGAAAGTTGCGGTTTGGCAAGCCCATGAACCAGAAAGTCAGGAGCGGTCTCTGCCGAAGAAGGCGCCACAGCGGCGCAGCAATAGACCCAGTCCTTGATGCGACCACCCCACAGGGAAAAGGAAAACCCCAGCTGTTCATGGAATCCTACTCCCTACTCCATCTGTTCTCCCCACAAGCAACGCCAGAGGTGAGCTTCTGCGGAGAAACCAGCTGGTGAGGTGCTCTCCAAGCCAAAGAATGCGGCTGCAGCAGTGGACCTCAAGAGTGATGTGCTGGTATGCTCCTGTCACTTTCCCACAGAGCCCACAATTCCATGATTGCTGCTGTATTGTAAACCAGGGATTCAGGGCCGTTCTCTGCCGAAGAGGGCGCCACAGCGGCGGCAGCGGTAGACCCAGTCCTTTGTGCAGTCGGAGCAGAAGGGGAAGAGCGACAACACGCAGCAGCCCAAGAAGCACAGCATGAACGAGGAGAAGAAAGTGACAAATCCACTCTCCTGCACACACATGCCGGCACATGCCGTTGATCACTTTGGCCAAGGCATCACACTGACTTATGTCAGTGCAGCAACACTTCCTGTAGGAGTAATCAGGGCAAGAATTGCACTAGAATAAATGCGTGAAAGTGGATGTACCACACGCGCATGGCAAGAACCACATGGACATGCATTGAAACCGCTGTGTCACTCCTGAATGCCCGCCATGGTCCTACCAGGGAGATTTACCCTGACTTTGTCGGTCTACCCTTCTAATACTAAACCCCAAAGTTCGCCACTGCTTCCTTCTCCTGGTCCTACCAGAATTAAGGCGAAAGACGGCTCAGTTGTCAGGAATGCTGCATGAAGGGGCTTTGCGCAAGTGTCAAATAATTCAACTGGTAGAGGGGAGGAGTCAGTGTCTTGAGGGAATTAGCTGATTCATTTATGGCAGGCACGAGGCAACGCGCAGAAGGGAAATGCAGTCATTTCAAGCATCGCCACGCCCAAGAAGCATTAGTGGAAAATGAGACGAGAAACTCTACAGCAAGAAAAAAGAATGGCGCACCTTGGAGACAGCTGCAGGTCCGGTGTGGCCGCAGTGCGGGCAGGCCACAACGATGGCGGACCCCCTCAGTGGTTCCATCACCACCAGCTCCTGGTTCACCTGGGAATCAAAACGCCAACAGGTCAGATGAAACAGTTCATGCATCACCAGCTCCCGACAAACCAAAGGCAGCATCAATGCCAGTATATAACGCTCTGTTGCAGTTACTCCAAAAGACAGCGGTACACCATCACTGCTATCATTGCCAGTGCGACAGAAACAAAGGAATCCTTCGATGTCAATCCGTTACACACACGCGTCTTCTTAGAAGAAACCCAAAAAAGGGTGCAATGCCTGATGTCAGGATTGTGAAGCAAGGCGACGGTGTCCTGCCGCATGAGCGCCTATGCATGCAGGCAAAATTTGGCCATCCACGAAGCACACCCCAAGGCCACCTCCCCACGCACTGGTGTGTTGTAGCAGCACTGACAAAGGCAATCTTCTGTCTGTGTGGCTCTTGTCTGAATGAACATACCACGAGAGGCGGCACATAGGAGGGCGGCTGAGTAGCGTGCGGGAGCACCGGATAGCCGTCTGCCACATGCGGCTGCTGATACACCGGCGGGGGGGCACTGTACTCCTGCACCACAATTTTGGCTTGTTTTCTCTGTAAATCTTTCCACACACAAATCTGGACGTTATTTGTGCTGCCCAACACCCGTCCATCCACAAGCCACCAATCCCGCTCTACGTGGAGTGTATGCTGAACAGAGAATCCAAAAATACAGCACTACCCGAGCAGCATGAGGTAAGGTGATTCAAGAGTTTGGCTGGCGTGCAGAGACAAGGACAGCGGGCAGTCCAGCAAAATCAAGAATTCCCAAATTCCCAGGATTCAAGCATGCAGCCGCAAAACCAAACCCTTCAAACGAAGAGCTCCCAAACCTGCTGTTGCACGCCAAGCAACTTCGCAGCACACACACACACACACCAAACCAGAACAGAGTATAGGAGATATGGCAGCTGCCTCGCACCTGGTGGCCGCCAGACTGCGGTGCATGTTGCGCGTAGGCATGCTGGTGAGAAGCGCCCGGCTTGACTGGCTCCGGGAAGTCCGGGTCAGAGCCAGCACTGCTCGGTGCGCCAGGGTCGAGCGGAGGCGCCGACGCATTCGGATACCTGCAGCAAGTACACCCAAGTCATATTTAAGTATTGCAGCCTTCCTTGCATGTTTGCTTTCCAGCTTGTGCAGGTTCCCCGTCTAGATTTCTTCGCTGATCCCCTTTCTGCTGCATGTGTTCACATGATAAGTCAGGGAGTCGCAAGTATGCCAGTCCTTTTGGGATTAAAACCAGATTTTCTCAAGGGTTCGCTGGACTCCCTCTACCTTGTACCTTGCAATGAAAAATAAGGAAGTTCTGACAAGAATTGCAACCAGTAACGCTTGGGGCGGTCTTATTGATTTGGACATATTTTGACGCCCCGGCTGGCGGGGAGCGGTTGATTGGGTCTTGCTTGGATCTGGCGACTCTAACAAGGGGTAGGATTGTGGCAGCCTTTAATTGCAGCTTGTCTGCAGAACGCACCTTGCCCTGTGCCTCTTGGCAGGAACAGCATTTTTTATAATAATAATATTAATAATTTGGAACCAAGCAAAGAGGGAGACGCACGCGCTATAGGAGTTCTGCTGAGAGTCTGGCGCATTTGAGTCAGGCACCAATGGTTCGCTACTCTCGCCCTCCTTGCTTCCCCCGCCCAGGAAGCTTGTCCAGCGACTCGGGGCCATCAGATGTGGTAGTTGGAGGGAACTGCTCTCGACAAACTGTCTTTTCTTGCCTGCACAGCACATCGATGTTGGACGAGAGCATCGAGACATCGCATGCATAAAAAGAACTGTACAAGAAATACTTCGAGACTAGCTACAGAGCAGCAAGCTCTTCTAGTACAAAACCCTGTGCATCACGGATCTTGTCTCTCGAAAGCCAAGCTAAGAATGATCAGGCCAGATTAAAGCAACATAGTTAGCAAAAAGTGTGCCGAATAGGTGCCCAAAGCTGACTGCAAGGTCAAGAATACAGTGCTACGATGTCCAGTGCTGCCTAGAACGATCGGCGTCATTCGCTTAGTCAAAAGTATCCAATCTATTAAATGTTCAAAACATGATGTTCTCGCTCGCACCTGAGGGTATTTTCTTTTTTGGCTGAGGGCTCTTAAAGTCTCAGAAGATAAGAAGTAGGTTTCGGGCTCTACACCAGCTGGCTCTCTTGTTAGGTTCCGCGCTAGATGCAGTAAGAGACTGAGATATCAATTTGCTTGATTGCAAGAGTGCAGCGCAACTGAATGTCGTGCTCTGCCGAAATGTCGTGACCGAGCAGGTGGGTTCTCGTAGCTTCGGGGTTAGTCACCGTACGTGCAGCTTCCAAACCCACTATGCAGCTGCTGGCTTCAATCCTTCTTGCAGAGCGATGCCACTGCCTTGAATTCTGCATTCCTCTTTCTTCATTAACGAACCCACTACATTCCTCAATTGAAATGCTTGATGTCCACCTGCCTGCCCTCCAACAGGGCAGCGCCTTTGTCAATTATGAACTTTATATTATGAAGCTGAAGTCTTAGATACAAGTTACTAAGTATCAGTGGCCGCCGGCCAATGGCATTCCGCCATGCATACTAAGGAACATTTCTCAACGATCCTGGATAATGTCAAAGATGTAATTCTGTATCAGGTCGCGATGGTCAGTCACCCATGCACCAGAAGCCCAACCTGCTGCTGTACGCGACAAACAAGTTGCCTTGTAAGATCAATAAAGCAACCCAGCAGGAAATCTCTCTCATCCAACTGCAGCAAACGCCAACTCTTCCGCGCACCCATCGCCCACACAGTGTGATGCACCAGCCACTCCCATCGAGAGTGTGATCTTCCTCGCAAAGGAACACACACCGTAGCTCCTCCGCCTGATATGCTTCAAGCTTCCGGATGACTCATCGCCTCATGTGAAGCGGCTCGACAGCGGCTATCTTTGACTCATCTCCTCATGCACAGAGGCTTGACAGGAGCTATGTTGGCGGGCGCTGACTCATCTCCTCATGTACAGCGGCTCGACAGCGGCTATTTTGGCGCGCGCTGACTCGTACGCCTCTGCGAATTCCTTGGCCTCCTCGTCGTCCGCTGCTGCCCCCTTCAGCGGCTTGGGCAGCACAAGCATGCAGCTGGTGGGCCGCTTAGTCAGCCCAGCAGCTCCCAGAGCCTAATCGAGCAGCAATCTCAAATTCAGAGGCAGCATCTTTTGAAGCTGTAGGGTTGCATGCTCCTGCAGGTTTCCCGGATGCCTGTGTCTGTGCTTGACTTACACTGCAAAGAGGTCAGGGCTGGCAAGAGCCAAGCATCAGCCATTGCATCAAACAGGGCCTTGCAAAGGAAACATAAAAGGAAACATATTCAATAGCTGCATGGAAGAGCATCCTTCAGAACAAGTGTGCGGCAATCTCCATGGTGAGATGTCCACAAGACTCCTGCGTGCCTATCAAGATACAGTACCGCCAGGTGTAACTGTCATTTCATATCTATCAAGTTCCATGTGCGCTCACCTCCTTGGAGGGGACGTAGATATAGGGAATGTCATTGTCCTCGCACAGCACTGGGATGTGCGTGATCACATCGATGGGCGAGATGTCTCCGGCGATCAAGCAGATCCTGCGCACATCATCAACACAACTCAAAACTAGCCATAGGCAGCCTAGCCAGCGGGCTGTTTTCCCACAAGTAATGGGGTCACAGGAGACATACATAAATCACATGCGTTCAAGATGGAAATGCTGATGCTATTGAGGAGCACAGTGAAAATCCCAAAGACACTTCGGCATCCAAATAAGGCATGCATTCTTTTGACGGTGTCTAGGTAAGCCCAACAACAGCTTATACAATGTCCACTCGACTAGCAGTGCTGCTGCTTTGCAGACTGCAATGCCACATGGACTGCTTTCTGCCGCATGATGCAGAGTGGTATTGCTGCTGAAAGGGTGAGACAGGTCTGCAGCCCACCCTTTAAACTTTTTGCGGATGGCCTTCACGACCTCCTTGACCCCTCTCTTGGTCTGTTTCCTCTTGGAGGCCTTCTTGGCCAGCTTCAGCAGCTTCTTTGTGAGCTTCTCGTCGGCCAGGGGGTCTGCAATGGGCGCCAGGAAAGGGCCGGTCTTCTGCACCACCTCCTTTGGCACCACCTCCACCTCCTGCTCACAGCATTTTATGTAAGCGACAGAATGCATGCAGTTGCGTGAACATGACGCCGGCAATAAACAAAGCCGAGCGCAATAAGGAAGGCAAGGCAAGGAACGTCGCGTGCCAGGCACTATCCTCAAGTGATCTAGGGATCCAGATCAATCCAGGTGCCTGGTCTTGAGCTGCGGATCCGTTGTCCCGATCACGCATGCAAATGCTTACGATTGATGCATTGATGAAAATCTTAGATAGTACCGGCTCTGCTGCGTCCTCATCTTCATCCTCTTCATCCTCGTCATGGACAACTGCAACTGCTTCGGTCAGGGGTGTAGCCACTGCCTCCTCCAGCTTTAACTTCTTCTTCTTTTTCTTCTCGGTTCTGGGAGTCTGCGCCTCTGGCTCTGCCACGACCTCTCCCTCGCTCTTTCGCTTCTTCTTCTTCTTTTTCTCTTCTGTCTGGGGCTCCACCACAACGGGTTCTGCAGCGGAAGGAGCGTCTGCCTTGCCATTCTGAACTCCATTTTCGATCTTTTTCTCCTTCTTGTCTTTCTTTTCCTTCTTGATCTTCTTCACTGGCGTCTCCACCTCAGCTTCACCTTTTCTCTTGTCCTTCTTGGGCTTATCGCTGTTCTTCACCATGTTGCCTCCTCTTTCAATGCACGCACTACCCAATCAATGGCAATCAGAACTTGCTTCTTTCTTTTCTAGATTCACGGCAATTTGCAAAATGGCTCCGACAGCAGCCATTCTCGGAAATCTTTACATCCATTTTCACCCTGATTCCGGCTATTTAAGGGGAGCGTAGGGTACAGCTGGTAGGGCTTCCGACCTGAAGGAATCCAGCTCACTTTTCAATGCTAGTACCACAGAAGATTGGTGGTCCTATAGTGTCAAAAGATCGCAAACGCCGACGAGCTGCTCACATTGAAGCAGATACAGCTGAGCAAGGCCGGCAATAGGGGATCTTACAGGCCACATCCGTATAAGTGTAGCGTTTTTTGCAGCGAATGAGCTTATTTATGCAAGGTGATGTGGTTCTAGTACCACTTGCAACATGATGTAGGTCGACCCAGTGCTTCTTGGACCTGTCTGGCGTTTACTATGGTGGCACTGGCTTACGATACCAAAGTCTCATGATCAACGTGCTAGTGAGACTCTGAGCAATCGTTGACAAGTACGATGCCGTCTGTGAACGGTGTGCGACGTGATCCTGCTGGGCGTCAGACGTCAGCATTTCCTCAGATAGTGAAGCTGCAAGTGAACAACATCATCGGCCTCGATAAATACTTTCGCTCAGCTACTCTGCTATTGCGACAGGTGAGAGGAGCAAAATACTGCTTTTCTTGCTGAGAACTTTTGAGATGGCATAAGAAGTCCATTGCTTGCTGAGGTAAAAAAGCTGACTTGGCACTTGTTGGATGGTTCCTTTTGCAGGCCGATGAATATCGCGGAACGGGGAATGACTTCCAGCTGTATACTATGCTCATGCGGTTTGCCAGGTACGCAACGTCTTCCACACCTTGAGGTTCCGTGACAACCACCAGACTATTGGCACATTGCTCCTTTTCACAACACTCTGGTGTGAGTAACGTGATGTGTGTGCCCAGTCTCGTGCTGGAGACAATACCTCAGCACCAGAAATTCAGGCGGTCCTCGCCAGAGCACATGCGCTTCAAGCAGGTGCGCAGCTAAGAAATCGCTTGTGGCCACCTCATGTTCTGTGCAGCAACCAACAATTTATGCTCAGATGTCCCTTTGTGCAACAAGATTGAACATTCCACAAACTCCCTTTGCAGCTCACCGTCAACCTCGTGCATGCCTTGTCCTTCAGTAGCCTATGTCAATTTAAGCTCTTGTACTTCTCTGCGATGCATGCTGCCTGCCATCTAACTTTTCTTCTCTCACATCTCAATCAGAAGGCAATTTTATGCTGTGCGCCACTGCATCATCTCAGGAGTTTCTGTCACTATTAGCCAGCCCTTGCTGTAGTACCCAAGGTATGCAGTAGCTGGCAAACCATTGAGAGCCATGTGTGGAGAGCAGCTGCTCTTGGACACATATCTACCGGAGCTGGAGCAGCTGAAGCTGAGGATTGCCACGCGGGAGCGAGAGGGCGATCCCATGCGCCAGCATGTGGCCGGGAGCACTCTGGACACCGTGCAGCTTGTCACCTCGAACCTGCCCGAACTCTCCAACTGGGGTGCGTGCTTGACCACCCTTGTTGCACTAAAAAGCCAGGTGTGGCCAAGAGTGCTGGGCATCCGAGGTCTGTGGCATGTGGTGCCTAATGTCGGTTCAGTAGACTGATGACGAGATGCAGTGACTCGCCATTAGGCGTCGCTTCTATGTATCTTGGATGCATGATGTCCTGTTCATCCAGGCTGCTCAAAGAAGGGAAGAGGTATGCCGAGTAAGAGGTGGAATGCGAGCTGACACTGCATGAATCCCTGCCTGCTGGCAGAGACCATGTATTGAGAGTAGTATCGGATTGGTCAGTCTGTTGTGGCTAGACGTGCGCTTTTGCGCTCCTGTGCTTTCCTCGATACCCTCTGCCATGACAGCAATTTGGAAGTGGTGACACGTGGTGCTGGTCTGCGCAGGGGTTCCCCTTCCGGCAGCCCCAAGGCCTAATCAGGACATGGACTTTGGGCGGTTGTCTGTCTCCGGAGGCGATCTTTTCTCCGGGGATCCAGGCCTCAGCACCTCTGCTGCACCGCCAGGACCAACGGTGCTCAAACCTTTTCCCATGGTCCTAATTGTACCGCTAAGAAACAGCCATGCTAAGAAATTGCTATTTTTTGTTTTCTTTGTTGGCTCACTCCTCTTTTACCGAAGGGGATAGGTATGAACAGGCAGCCTCAGATGTATCGGGCTCTTGTGCCAGGCAAATGCGCTTACAGCTACTGGAGAGCATACATGGTCTTGCAATTGTCTGCTCTTTTGCCTTAAATTCTTTTTTCTGTGGTTCTCCTTTCCTCTATATGAAGAGTAGTGCCGGCTCACAAGAGTGACAAATTGCATCCTGACTCTGAAGCACACTACACGCTTGTAGCCCGCACCTGCACATGCGTCTTGCATGTGATGACTAGTTGAAGCTGTTTGATGTGCTTTTGGATCAGGTTGCCATCTGCATATTCTTAGTCTTCTGGGTATCAATGCAACGAGTGGACGTTATGCAAGGAATCTGTATTTTGAAGCCTGCCTTTCTTTAGAGCTGTGTGTGTCTTCCCATTGCTTAACAGGCAACGGCAGCGGAGGTGCCCAGCTGGATGATTAGTAACTCATCGCTAAGGCTGCCGGTGGCCAGCGAGGCCGCCCGCAGCCGCCACATGCTGATGCCCAGCGCGGAGCCTGCCCGGAGGGTGAGCGCGCCGAATGGAGGGGTCATCATGCCGCTGTACCCCAACTTTGATTCCTCACCCCTTGCCCCAATCAATTACGGTCCCCGCCGCACCGATTCCGGCAGCATTGTTGCAGCTACACCCTCGGCCCCGCCTCTGCCTCAACAGGTATCTCCATTTTCACTTGCTTGCAATTGAACAGTCTCTTAATACTTGAGTAGTTGGGGTCCTTAAGGGATGGTTGAAAGGCAGCCCTAGGAGGCATGCATGCTGTGAATGTTCAACATGACCTTGCAAGTTGGTGAGGGAACACGTACATGAAAAAGTTGTGTTCACATCATGCATTTGCCTGCACAGTCCTTTGAACGGGACATGCTTAGTTGGTAAAGAAGACTCTGAAGCGCATAAGTTGATACCTTAGAGCTCGCATGCAAAGTGGTTTCACACTGCTGGCTTCTGCTGAAGAACGTGTGTTCACGCGTGCAAGCATGACATAACGCCTGAAGGCTTGCATTGAGGAGAGAATGGCTCGATGCTACTGGCTTGTGCTGAAAATTTTGTCTTCACCTGTGCAGCAACAGCAGCAGTCAGCCTCGCTATTGGACACGGACGCTGTGCAGCCGCCCTCATCGGACGCCGGGGAGTTGCTTGCGCAGCTGCAGCCGCCGCCCTCACCCCAGCTGGAGCTGCAACTTGGGCCCCAGGAAGTGCAGGTACAGCCACTACACTCCCCTGCCTTGCAGTGGAAAGTTGATCAGATGGCGCATTGCTTCGCATGTGTTGTGTGCATGTAGCTTCAGAGCTCAATGTGCTTGCCAGATTTGGGCCATGCAGTGCTCACATTGGGTTCTTAGCATTGTGCTGAGATTGCTTTCGTTCCTTCTGCGCTTGGAACTCCTGGTAGAGATGCAATTTTGGCATCTACAGGCAGCTGCTTGTCCGGTCTTGTGTGCAGTCTGTCAGCATGTTCGAAGCGCACTCTCGTGCCAACGAATTCAAGCGTGGGAAGAGACTGCCTTGGTACTGGGACTATAAAGCTTTCCGCGTGGAAGAGAGTTCATTAGAGGGGAAAACACAAAAACCGATTTAAAAAAAACAAAGTGGTGGCTTTCTATTCTGGCGCGCAGGTGCAGAGCATGCCTGCGCCTACTCAGGCGCCGCAGCCGGGGGACACCTGCTCGCATGACATAGAGGTGGTCCCCCCGCTGGGTGTCGATCAACCGGGGGGACCGCCGAAGCTGCAGCAGGGAATCCGGGAGGTCCAGGTCTCCATGGCACTGATGGACGAGTTCCTCAAGTGAGTTGTCGGTCACCTCATCGGTTGTGAGCTTGCTCTATTTGCTGAAACCTGTTGATGGGTGTTTCGGGTATCAGTCGATGCTGTGCAGCCGGGCAGGATCTATGATAATACCTGTGCAAGAGAGGACACCGCATGGAGTGCCTTGTTTTCTCAGCCCAGTGTCCTCTGTCGCCAGAGTCGTTGTGCCTCTTTGTTGACGCCCCTTGCCTTGTGTTCCTGTAACGGCCCTTGTCCAGGATCATGTGCAGCATGACTTCACTATACCGGAAATATCCTTCTTTGCTGCGTGTTCAAATGCAGTCTGACGCTGTGCTCACATCCTGTGTTGGTCATGCTCTGCCTCTGAGAAGAAAAGGCGCCTGTGCAGGTACGCAGCGTCGAACACACGGCGGGGTGTTGAGAGCTGCGGCATTTTGGCGGGCGTGCTGGATGAGAAGAACGGGTGCTTCCAGATCTCCACGCTCATCATCCCCAAACAGGAGGGCACATCCGACACTGTCCAGGCACGCCTCCTTATTTCTTTTTCCCCCTTTTTATGCTTTTTCTCTTCTGTTCCTGTTCTGTTGTCAGAGAGTAGTTTTTTGGTTGTCTTCAGAGCTGGGCAACAGCTTTGCAGGGATTGCTTATTGAGTAGGTCAAATGGACACATTGGGAACACGTGATTTGTCCATGGTGTTCCTTGTCCCTTGCTGTTGCCCGTACTGGGATCATATTTCCGTATCAGGCTCAGTAAAACTCTTGTCCCGTGTGATCTAAAACTGCGAAGCTCCCCAAGCAGCATTTTGCGCGGTGGGGATGCCATCTTCTGATCTGCTCATCTTGACTCAAAAAGTACTGCAGTGGTTGGCATGAGGGGGCAATCTCTAGCCCCCACTAGCTGAGGAACTCTGTGCATTGCCCAGTGCTGTACGCGAGCCAATTTGTGCCTGACAGGAGCGCACTTTTGAATCTGAATTTGAATCCGCAGGCGTTGAACGAGGAGGAGATATTTGAGGCCCAGGACAGCCGCTCGCTGTACCCTCTGGGGTGGATCCACACCCACCCCACCCAGACCTGCTTCCTCTCCTCCATCGACGTCCACACCCAGTGCGGCTACCAGGTCAGTTACTAATTCACATTATCTCCTCACCCCTGCTCACTGTGGCATTTTCATCGATGCTGGGTCTCGCCTTTCACCTGTAGGATGAAAGGCTCTTTTTGGAGGGTGTGCTTGCATTTGCACCCGCTTGGCAGAGATTAAGAGCTGCACTATGCTGGCAAAAGCAAGAGGCAAGAGGCAGCACAGTGTGGCTCTTCAATTTTATGTTGCGCGGGTGCAAACACTGCGAGCTGGAACTCCCTGCTTGGGTCTTCTAGCTAAAGCCCCACTTGCATTCCCACCCGCATTGCGTGATTCATCAAAGGCTGCTGTGCTGACGGAAGCAGAAGGTTCCCACACAGTGCCCTCTCGATCCATCCGACGCTGGTGTAAACACTGCAAGATAGACACCAGCCCCTTCTTGCTATAGCATCTTTACTCCCAGATATGAAGCCTTTAGATGCATGGTTGCGTTTCTGCCTGCATGGCATGGTTAAAGATCGGCACTTTGCTGGCAGAAGTAAGAGATTGCTGCATGTTGCCGCCTTCAACAATGCCATGCGGGTGCATACCTTGCGAGCTGCACACCAGCATTTGCTTGCTTGGGGTCTTTCTAGCTGCAAGGCAGGAGGATCTCCTGAACCATGCCTGCATTTCCACCTGTACTCCACTGTTCAGAGCTAGTGTGTGGCCCCCAGCTTGCTGCTGACCTCCCCACTGAGTGATGCAATGTGGGTTCTTCTTCAGTATTTTGCAAGCCAGTGCTCCGCTGTTTGGCTTTGCCTAGATTACCTGCAGTGAAGCGGGCGTCTCAGGCGTGTGCTTGCATTTGCATCCCCGTTACACGTCTTGAGGCTGGCAGCATGCTCTTGCACGATTGCTTCATGCTGCCTCCTGAGCGATGTAACGCGGGTGCAAAAGGCCATGACCCGCCAACTTTTATATCCCTTCTGCTGTGTAGCATTGCAGACAAGGAATGTGATTTTGGTTGTGCTTGCATTTGCACCCGCGTTGGCCTTCCACATTGATGCTGTGTGCACATCGTGTCTGAGTAGAGGGTCAACGCGGGTGCAAATACAGGAAGCTGCATTTTTTCTCCCGTGCTTGGCCAACTAGTACTTTCAGAATTAGGAGAGCCCTCTCTACCCTGTGTATCAAGAGATTTTTTTTTTAAATTCGAAATGCTGAGACCCGGGAACGCCCGCGCAGACGATGCTGGAGGAGGCGATAGCGATAGTCATGGCGCCACGCGACGCGAGGAAGCGCTGCGGCCTATTTCGGTTATCCACCCCCGGGGGTCTTCAACTCGTGCAGAAGTGTCCCGAGCGCGGCTTCCACGCACATCCCCCAACCCCTACGGGCCAGGTACATTCGAATTTGTATTTTTCGAGTTTGAATTTTTCATCCAGACTGCTTCACGGATTGATAACTCTTCCATCAGTCATTAGAAGGTCGAACCATATCAAAAACCAGTGACCGAGCCAGGCCTTTGAAGACCGCCCTTTGTCCCAGGTACCTTCATGTATAGCAGGTCAAGCTGGCACCTTGGTATCCAGTGGATTACACATCCGCAGGGTTGACGCAGGGGTCTATGAGAGGGTTTTCCTCTATTATCCTAATACCGTTATCTAATCATCTTTGACCTAAGGTGCAGATTTGGTTGACAAGGCGGCATGCCTCGCCCACAACATCTCGTATACACTCTTTGTCCTCTTTGAAGGCTGTTGTACTGTACAGACAAGATCAAGATTGAGTTCTTATGTTCTGGCATGTGCATCAGGTCCGTCCTGTGCTCAGTGAATCTAATTCCAAATTCGAATTTGAATTTGAATTTTACTACTTGTGCAGGCTGTCTATGAGCTGTGCGGCCACGTGTATCTCAATCCAAGGGTACAACATGACGTGGTAGACCTGCGCTGACGCATTCCCTCTCAGGAGACCCTTGTACGAAAACACCAACCTTTTAGAAAGCAAACACCGCTGTGCTCTTTTTGCTAGGAGCAGTCCTACACTCTCTGGCAGGAAGTCGTGCTACGAGCTCTGAGACGGCTTAATCTCTGGACACATTGTTTCCCATGCTATTCCATCCCAGTCCAGATGTCTTGATGGAGTCTGATGGACCCTGAAGGACTCTGATTGACAGGGTAGGAGCCCTCAAGGAGCCATCTCAAATATGAGAGTGCTCCAGCCTGGAGCCTCCAGCGTGGGTGGGAAGCGGAACGAGAGGGGGTGGCCACAGGGGTAACACACGTGTCGGACGTGCAATTGCTGACATGTTGGACACGCTCACTGGGAGGTGATGACAAAGTGGGTGTGTCAAGGGTGCAAGATGACGTCTGACAGCCTTGGTACGCATGTCTTGTGAATAGAATGCCTGGGGCTATGAAGCAGGGGTGATGCAGGGGCAGAGATAATAGCTATTTAAACGGTCGCGTCAAGCTGTGTACTCTTCTCAAGAAGCAGGCTTTTCTGTTTGTGTCACGAACAGGGTTCGTGTGCGATAGCTTTGTAATTGTAGGTTTACATAGCAATTAAGACAAGATGTACCTTCAATTGTGTTGCCAAGCGCCTTGATATTAAAGAAATTGCGTCAAACATTGTTGAATCTCAACAATAAAAATCAAAGTATTATACGTAATCACATACTTCTGGGCCACAATTTCTGGCTTGGTATACACCTGAATAGAGGAAGCGTTCCTGTCTCGGGGTTGGTTCAAACAATAAGTTAGTTATCTCTCAACAGCAATTCAAGTGACAGATGCATGATGGTGTCTGTTATTAGCTTGGCATGCATGCCCTTGCTGATGTCAACACCAACACATTTATATTTGCTGAAATCAGACGCCAATCAAACAGAGCTGGACCACACTGATTAAAGCTGACTTCGCAGGTCGTCATACTCCAAGTCACTTAGGGGCGTACTTCCTAACTTGCATGAAAAGGCTGCCTTACTTCAACACTCGAGTAGCTGGCAAACTACACTTCACAGCAAGAGCTGTATATCGTAGCATGTGCCACACTGTAAGCTGCACTTCTCTGCTTACGTCAATTGCATCAGCTTGCTGTTGTAGTTCACTTGGCAGAAGGCTGTGGGATGTCGATGATGACATCATTCAGCTCACTGGCTGAGTCATTGGCGGGTAACTTGCGCGAACCCTGCATTCACATGGAAAAAGACATAGTCTCTCACGTGACAGCACATAACCCTGGCACCCTCAAAACTATGCAACACATGGTGCATTCAAGACCATTCATGGGTGTTAGCATGTTGAATGTGAGCATGTTGACATTAATGCTTCAAATATTAGGTTGGGACCTCAGTAGACCGCCAGATGCATTGCCCATGCAGTCATCAAATTGTGATGAATCATGGCTATGCTGTATATTTGCAGATTTGCAAGGGTGGAATCCCCAACAAGGACCTGGTGTGGGTCTCACCTTGACACTCTTGCGCTTGCTCCATGGCTGCCAGGATTTGGAAATTCCCTGCACAGCCATGAGACACATGTAAGCTAAGCTTCTAGTAATGCACCAATCCTGAATCAAGAGCTGCACAATTGCACAGCCGCTAGTCTAAGCTTGCTATAAGATTCTGTAAAGCGATCTCTGAAAAAGAGACACTGCAGTCACTGACTGTGACTGTATATGACACCCGCTGCTGGCACATGGTGCTGGTGGTAACGCAAAAGTCCACTACATTAACAATCGGACACCCTCGCAAGTCAAAACCCAGGGGTACTATAGACTACTGTGGTCTTAGGAGCTCTGGTACCCCTTGCAAGAACCCTTAGTGGGCTCAAGTACAACTGAAGTTATTCGAGTGTTCTGATGTCTAGTACTCCCTGAATACAAGAAGCCAGGGGTTGATACGCAAACAGCGAGGGCCGGGTGACTAACCTGCGCCAGGTGGTCGAGCGCGGATTCGACGGCGTTCCCGGGCCAGTCGACAATTCTCACCCACAGCGGCAGGGGGCGGTTGTGCATCTTGCAGTCTTCCTTCACGCGCTCCTGGCGAATGAAGAATGCCTGCACGCAAGTCTTGGCCACGTCCGCTATAAGCCAGACTGCCACCGAGTACGCCCACACGATGCCCACCTTGGCCCAGCCTGCAAACGGAAATGACTCTCAGGCACTGAATGTCTTCCAAGGATTGATGCATGCCCAGTACAATGCATCAACAATTCTCCCTGCGAAACATTGTAGGCAGCGCCGTCAACACATGCCGACAACAGCCTCTGACCTAATTGAAAAAGTAGACTAAGCACCTGAGACCATATATGCATGGTTGCAGAAGAAAAGGGCCGGCAAATGTATGATTTCTTGCCTTCCTGTCTTGATGGTGAATTGCAACTCACAGATTTTATGGTGAAGAGGTCTTCCTGATAACACAGGGGGTAAGGAAGTCTGAAATCCCTCAAGTACAAGAGGGTCCGCACCTGCGCCGATAAGGATGCCGCGGCCGCCGTCCGGCTGGATATTCTCGGGCCAGTAAACGGCAATGAAGGTGGCAGGCAATAACACGCACGAGACGGCCGCGATTAAGAGCAGCGAAGGCCTCGGGGCCGTGCGCTTGGAGAATCGCCAGAAGAGCCCCGGGTTGCGCGTGGCGAAGATGTTTAGCTGGATCATTATCATGAGCGCCAGGAAGATGCATGCGACCACCTGCGCGGAATGGTCGCCGATGTCAACCCAAGTATTTGACGTTATGACGTCTGTGATCACCCTGAATGATTCAAATTGGAGGGCCAGCGGCACATGCTTGCACATGGGATCTGATCAGCAGTCACACGATGGTGCTCATCGGATAGTGAAGAAGCATGTTATCAGGGAACATCTTGGCACGTCGTATGCATATTGAGCACTGATAGGAGATTCTACAGAGAGTGTTGTTAACACTGCCTGCAAAACTTGTGCAGCAAAGGGGCCGTCGCTCCTTCGAGCTGCAATCCCTGGCCCTCTGTGAGGCTTTGCTCCAGCAAGCTCTTTTTCTGGCTGAATGTATGTCTCTGAATAAGCACTCCATATCTTAAGGATGAATGTTCAGGCTCACCTGGCCGTTGGTGGTGCGGGGGGGGGCCCCGGGCAGGCCATCATCGACGGGGGTGCCCATCAGAGAGAACCAGTTGACGGGATTGGGCAGGCTCAAAAATAACAAGATCACAGAGCCGACAATGCCGACCGCAGCGGTGCATGCGGCCACGACTAAGCACTTAGTCATGTTCCACGTCAGCGGCATGTCGGAGCTGTGCACCTGTGCAGTGCGCACATGTCAGTCTCAGAAGCTGATATTTTTCTAGCTTTCCCAGAATCAGGAGTCATCTTTGACTGTGTTGCGGCTCTGCACCTGAAATCGTCTTGTGCACCTAAAAGCCTCTATCCAACACACATCCCGTTTGCATGCAAAAGGCGGACCAGAATTTTCGCTTCTACCGGCCTACCAAAACCTCGTATTTTGTGGCACTTGGATAGACATTCACTGCATGCTTGGGCGGACCATGTTTGCTGTCATGAAAGCAATGACTAATCAAGCAAGTAATGCAGCGCTCAGCCTCACCTTGTCGAAGGAGGTGGCCATGACGGAGGCATCGTTAGTAATGTTGATAACGATGATGGCCCAGGTTGGCATCTCGAATCCTAGTATAATGATCCCAAAGAAGAAGAACCCAAGAATGAGCAGGCTCGAGGCGATGCGATAGATCAAGTAAGACTGAAGCCGCGCAAAAATCGTGCGGCTGGCTTGGATGGCTGTTATGATGGGGCCCAACCCCTCCTGCGCAGCAAGCCAATTCTTTCTTGCATTTTGTGGTTGGACTTGCCCGGCTGCTGGGCCGACGTGTCATCATGCATGCGACACCGCTTCTTTGGGGAGCTTTTGGTAGCCGCACACATTCCCAACTACCGTACATGCCTTCTTGCTCTGCCCTTTCCAAAGGTCCCTTCTTGATCACGGCAAGGGGCATGACCTAGTGTGTATAAAGATCAACGTCTTCTGTGCTTGGTGAAGACACGCAGCTCAATGCAGAAAGCTGCAAATTTGCGCGGCATTGAAGAAGAAAGCCCTTGCATGCTCAACCGCCTCTGTTAGCACTGAAATGTGCAGTTCGATAGCACTTCATAGAAAACTGCAGGATTCCTTTGGCAAACACAGCTTTCTGATCTTGCATATCTGCTACCCCCAGCGCAGCCCGTGATGTCAGCAGAAGGTGATTACCTCGGTGAGGATGATGTCAGCGGCGCCCTTGGCTGCTGATGTGGCGCCGGCCACAGCGATGCCCACGTTGGCCTTCTTCAGTGCAGGCGCATCATTCACCCCGTCACCTGTGCCAAAATTTTAACATTTCCTTTCATATGATCAATTTAGTTCGACATACTGTTCCCGAAACCTACAGCCAAAACAGTCTCCAATAATTAAAATAGTTTCCACTTCAGATAAACATCCCAATCTACTCTAAGCATTGCCGTGCTTAGTAAGCAACGGAGTCTATAGGCTCCATGCATCAAAAAATCTTGCTAAGATTACGGTACCAAGCAAGTGGGTGCTATTTCTTGACTTCACAGCGAGATAGAACAATTGATATTGAAGAGGACACCTCAATTGATCATGATCTGTTTTTAGATATGTAAGTTCAGGAGGAAATATAACAAAACAGATCATGATCAAGACATGATGAACACATGATCAAAACTGATCTGATTTGAACGAACCTGTCATGCCAACAAGGCGTCCCTTTGACTGCAGCGCTGTGACAATCTTGTGCTTGTGCTCTGGGTACACTCCAGCAAAACCATCCACTTCTGTGACCTGCGCATTCAAAATCACCCACCAAGCTCATGAGAACGAATTTGCCTACATACAGTGTACTGCCTATACCATCCTTTCGTCCAGAAATGGGATGCCAAACTGCTTTTGGATCCCATCACCAAGCAGGCGCTAGCCAGGGCAGCACCAATACTTTTCCCAGTGCACCCTTTTCAACTGATTACACCACCGGAAAATATCAGAAAGAAGGTTTCTGCACACATGGCAACACATGTCTACTGGGGCCCAACAGGATTTTTGGAGCACTGCATACCAGGCTGCAGATCTCTTTACACATGCGCAAAGGCCTCTGGGTATTCAATGGCCAAATACATTGACAGTGACGAGTGCTCCAGACAGATAGGGAATCAACATTTTCACTAGTGATCCCATCATGAGTCATTAATGGGCTGCACACCTTATTTGCCAGGTCGGCGTCGGTAATTTTACCCTGCATCAGCTCTGCACCCTCCATGATGTTGGTGCCCAGCCCCAGTCGGCGGCTGGTCTCCACTGCGATCAGCAACTGGTCTCCGGTCACCATCTTCACCTGCGCATGCCCCGCCATCCTTCACTTACTCACACCCCTCAGTAACATCACTTACTCACACCCCTTAGTAACATCCTAAATCCAGGACACCCTAAATGCCTGGAGACAAGATTTCAGTCTGAACCCCTGCTGTGTTTGGCTTCCATTCAGTGCGCCAGTATATTTTGGGTGACGAGAGTATAGTGAGGAGCAAGCCTATGCAGCAGGTGCATGCATTGCTCTTGTTTATATCTTGGCACCACTCTCAAAATACTTTTGATACTGCTGATCCCATTGCAGAAGACTTCAGGCTGGAATCTGCAAAGACTTACCTCAATGCCAAGCTGGCGTGCAAGTTCGATGGTGCGCTTGGTGTCCTCTCTGGGTGGGTCCAGGAGGGAAATAAGGCCGACGAGCTGCCAGCTGGAGCCTCCATCTGCTGATGTGGCAACTCCCAACGCCCGCAGGCCCCTGGAAGCCCTCTCTGCCATGTACCTATCCACTGCTGCCCTTGCTGCAGGGTCTTGCAGCATCGCTCCAATGATCTGCGCAGCACAGTGCAGACCTAGGTACTGTAGTACTCATTCTAAAATCTGCACCCCCGGGTTTTTGAAAACTTCCGAATGTCTTTGAGCAACTCTAGAGATCTGCCTGAATATAAGAATACCTTGGTCATGCTCCATTGGATTGGACTTGTCCAGAGCCTTCTGACTTCCAACCGATTGGTCTCATAGGAATTGTATTTTTGGGGAATATGGTCCGAAATCTTATTTCATGGGGGCTGTGGAATGAGTACTATTATTCTGCCACGGCTAAACTCCTCGAATGACTTTACCAGAACGAAGAGAAGCAAACATTCACCAAAGAGGCCCTTTCAGAAAGAGCAATGGGCCGCTTGGTCTTTTGATACTCATCCTAGTCAGCAACAGGTCACAGAGACATTCTGCAAATTGCATGCATGTCTTTTGACAGGATTACGGTACGCAGAATTGCACACCCGGCAGAACAGTCAAGCCATCAGATTCCAGAGGATTCTTCTACAACTTCAAGAGAATTCACTCTTTAAAGGTTGAAAATTGAAACGAAATATTACCTGGGGTGCTCCCTTGCTGGCGAGCAGCCGCCGCCCGTCAGGGGCGGTGAAAGTGGCGGTCGTCTTTTTGTCCACAGGATTAAACGGCACGACTCGCTCGATGACATAACCCTTCAGGCTCTCTCTGCTCCCCACTGCGCCAGTCACTGCCCTGTCTATTGCATCGTTGTTTTCCCATTTGGCTGACAACGCCGCGTAGAGCAGCACTTGCTCCTTGGTGGCTTCTTCCCAGGGCTCCACGTCCTCCTTGTCCAGTGTCAGCCTGCACGAGTTTCAAATTCAAATTTCAAACTTCAAATCTATGAAGATGCGGTGAAGGTTTGCATGTGCATGCATTGCAGCTGGAATAAGGCCCAGAATTTAGCGCTAGCCTGCAGTCTCTCAGCAAGTGCCACCGCTGCATGCAGGGGCTTCTAACAATTCATGTGACATGGGTGAAATATTTGCATGGCGCAGAATGCTGGCCTGGAATTTTCTCTCTCGACTAGTTGTCGCATCCTACCCACTCTTGCCTCTGCCTCTTCCCTCCAGGAGCCTCAGAGGTGAGCGGATGAGTCAACAGTGCGCCTGGCCAGGCGCGCATGCTGCGCCATGCTGGCAATAAACTACTCATGTGCCACCTGCATGCGATCGCCTGCTGCGCTCTGCATGGGGCAGCTCAGGGTGAGGGTTGGTGCCCGCGTCGAAAGAGGCCCTAACGAGGGCTGCTTATTCCCCTGGAACTGCTAATGGGCTGGGGAAGTGCCAGGTGCTCACCTGTTGAGTGTAAGCGTGCCTGTCTTGTCGCTGGCAAGCACCTCCATTCCAGAGAGCTCCTCCAGGGAAGCCAGCCTGCACATGAAGTCAACATGAAGTTACAAAAGTTACTGTCTTATTGATGGTCTCTACCGTTGCCATGTCATCCTACAGGTATCATACGGCCCTCGGCTTGTCACATGCTACCACAGCTGGAAGAATTTGTCCTCGTAAGAGACAACTTTACGCAATGAGGAAAGTTGGTACCAATTTTTAGTCAGCTTGGAAGTTTTCACTGCTTTGCCTGGCCTGCTCCAAGGTGCGCTGAATGCTATGGCACGACAAATAAAGCAAGGCAAAAGGCAGTCGGCGGCAAATTGCCTTCAGTAGCCCTGGTGTGGACTTGCAGCGCGTCCGCACATGCAACTTGCATGTTCACGAGTACAAAGTGCAAGACATATCGTGTTTGCATCCCAGCTTTTGCTGGTGTTTGCCAAAACAGCCTGCCTCACCCGGACATCCAGCTGATGCCCTAGGGTCACTCGGTCTCAATCCAGTTTTTGAATAGAAGAGGAGCTGCAGCCGCACCGGTTGACAATGGCCTTGTGGCGTGCCATCTCTCGAGCGCCGATCGCCAGAACAGTTCCAGTCACAACGGGCATGCCCACAGGCACAGTTGATGCGAGGATTACAAATGCGATGACTACCGAGTAGCCGGCCGCGTCGCCCCGGCCGAGAAGTGTCGCCATTATGCAGATGACTCCCGCCAACGCCAGTGCCCCGATCGCCAGCGTCACTCGGCTCAGCACCTGCGAATCATTGGACGTGTCAGCACTGCTGACTTAGCAGACAGTGCAGGATATGCTGTGACTCACTGACCAGAGTGCCAGAGTAGCATTGCGCAGTAATCACCTGAAGGACTTGCATTAAAAGCGGATAGATCTGGCTCACGCCGGCCCTCAAGCAACAAATGCCAGGTTACAGAGAGGGCACCAGCACACAGGGGGCTCGCTCTTAAACAAAAAACAGAAATTGCCAAAGATCAACAGAGCTAGGTCATGCTGCGCACAGGGGAGGTGACAAAGTTGCACACACTGCGCAAGAGCCAAATCTCCTCTGGGCGCTGCCAAATGTTCTCAGGCGCTGCTGAAAACCTTGTCATTTAGAACATTTGGGCATTTCACTGATAAGTACCAGCCAGGCATCACCTTTCGCAGGTGCCCGATCTCTTCCGGCTCGCTCAGCAGAGCGACTGTCTTGCCAAAGAAGGAGGCACCCCCCGTGGCAGATACTACAGCCGCGCTCTCGCCCTGCACTATGACAGAGCCGGACAGCATCTGCCCCACAAACGTGAAAGCGTCAATGACGGCTCTGCATGTTTGATAATGAAAAGGTCAGAGGCAGCTTTAGCTTCGTGACACTTGCGTGATGACACAGACACAGATCTGCCGTTGTTTCTATGGCATGCATGTAGACTTCAGTGGGTTATCATGAGGTGATTCCTAGGCAAGCTTAAAGTGCAGTGCTTCTCAGCAGCAGCAAAAAGAAGAGAAGAAGCTTCGGCTCTGCGACTTTCACAGGAGGTAAAGGACAGTCAACCTGCATGTGCACAGGCTCTTTTTGACAATTGCAGGATTCTGCTTGCATGCTGACCCCTTTAGAGTGCATCACTCCGGTCACTCTTCGAAAGATGTTCTGCATTCAGTGGAAAATAAAGGGATGGTGCACTACCTTGGCGCCCTGAGTCTTGGAGACGGGCAGTGACTCGCCAGTCAGGGATGATTCGTCCACCTTCAGAGGCTCGCCTTCGCCCACAAGCTGCAAACGCATGTATCTGTTCATTCATACGTTAATTTGACGTCTGAACGACTAAACTCCCGGCTGGTGGGGGGCGCTGCAAATGCTGAGCACCATCACCAGCATGATGCCCATGGTGGATTGGGTCTTGCTTGGTCCTGGCGAGTCCGTTAAAGGGTGGAAATTGTGGCAGCCTTTGCATGCCGCTTGTCTGTAGACGCACTTTGCCCCTGGGAGGAACAGCAGGATAAGAGCAAATGATGACGAACTAGAAAGAGACAAGTCATGTGACAGGGACACATGGGTGCAGAAAGCGCACCACAGCATCGGCTGGGACGACGTCTCCGCCCTTTAGATCGATGAGGTCGCCCGGCACCAGCTCGCGGACCTCCACTTGCTTCCACTCTCCGTCCCGCTTGACCAATGCCGTGGGGGCCGACAGTTCCTGCACATCGCCGTGCAACCTTGTCGATGCCGTTTTCAGAGAGACTTGTCCATCCATACCTGATCCGATCCGGTATTGCATAAAACGATCAGCATAACAAGTGTGATTGTCGGGTGACAATTTGCGCACCTTGAGCTCTTTCACCGCATTGCCGGCGTTCCGGTCAGAGTAGTAGCCCACCCAAACAATGATGTTCAGCTCCACAATCAGCAGAACAAAGGACGTCCAGCCTCTGCTGCCATCGTTTGGGACAACTACACTGATGATCGCAGCCAGAAACTGCAAAGTCAAGAAATGCGTCAGCAGACATGGCGTTCGCAATGGCTTCCGGCAGATTCACGTCCACAAGGTTCATGCACCCGCTAGGAACACGATGAGCAGGCACACATTGCCATGAGGTATAATTGTCGTTTAGCGCGCGTTCAAGCTATATAGCGCAGGATGAATTTGTGTTAGTCATAGCATTGTCCCGCACTTCGCCATCTACAGGGCACTTTGTTCACTCGTGCATTCACGACATGGAAAAGATCGCACGATGACAAGTATGATGGGGTCGAAGTATCGCTTGACCACTTTCCTCCATTCTGGCTCAGCATTGCCTTCGATCTCGTTGAAGCCGTGAACTTGCTGCAGCTCGCGTGCCTTGATTGATGTTAGCCCTTCACAATGCATTGCTGATTGTATTCTTGTCTATGTGAAAGCTTCTTAGTCGATATGGACGCGAGCGCTACGATTGAGATCCGTCGTCCAAGAGATGCGCGCTGCCCAGGTGTGTCCGACGGCGATATTCCGGAATGCCTTCCCGACAGCTTCCATGCTGTCAACAAATGTTTCTGTGCCAGACCCTAGTCCCTCTCCTTTCAGAATTAGGGCGTGTTCACACACAACCTGGAAATTGATTCTCCAGGGGGTGGAGATTACTGTAATCGGCGGTTTTGGTGACTAAACGCCTGGAGATTGACGGTTGGAGATTAATCTCCATGTCCTGGGGTGGAGATCGGTTCTCCAGGTGGGGGGGCAGGCTATAACGGTGCCTGGAGATTTGTTCTCCAAGTGTTCTCCAGGGGTAGTGTGAACACCCCCTTAAACACGCCAATAATGCAGCTAGGCTCTTAACATGATCAAGGGTCATTCAGGTTACAGGCAGCACATTTAGTTAGCTCTTCGACTCGACCTCGAAGGTCGACCAACCAATAATGACATCAACAAGCAACTTGCATCGATAATATTATGTGATATCAGCATAGCACTGGCAGTCACCTAGCTGACCTGCAAAGCTGCCAATGGGCTGCGTTGAGATAAACCTTCTGATGATCCCACTATGTCAAACAGCTCAGCAGAGACCGGCAACAAGAGTGCACTTCCTGACTGGAAGGAAGGAAGGAAGGAAGATTACATCACTCCAGCCGCCTAGGGCTGATTGGATGAACTGACAGAATCCAAATAATCAAAACAATCCATCACAAAATGTGCAACACCAACAATGTCCAACTGCCACATGAATTGGATGACTGGAGACTCCTTCCGCATTGAGAAGCCATGTGCAGGTGTGTAGTACGTTGTACGTAATGATAAGCCGTATTTCAAATCGCGTCCCAGGAAAACAGAGACGCCGTGACGGCTAAATTACCGGGCACATTGTTTCCCATGCTATTCCATCACAATCCAGACGTCTTGATGGTGTCTGATGGACCATAGAGGAATCTGATTGACAGGGTAGGAGCCGTAGGAAGCCATCTCAATTCTGAGAATCCTCCAGGGCTCTTGAAATTGTGAGGTGTTATTAAAAGTAGTCTCGAAGGCAACGGATGCATCAAGGTGTGTGATCTTCACAAGTAGCGAGCTCGTTGTTGTGTCTGGGCTGTATGCCATAGTCTTGTATGTAATAATAAAATTTGAACCCATCCAGCATGTACCCAGATCTTAGAAACTGTTGCAAAGCGCTATTTGGTCAAAGGGGGTTCACTCTTGGATCCAAATCAGTCACATACTTCTTGCTTACAATCTGGCAAGGTAGTATACACTAAATAGACGAATCACAGGGTTCGCCCCAGAACTAGATACTTCTGAGCATCCGTTTGACCGATAGACAGCAAAGTGGTGTGTATTTGGCAAAGCATGTACTGCATGCCCTTGCTGACGATGGCACCTTGTACACTGTAAGATGCCAATCAAAGTACTCAAACCCAGAATGAACAAAGCAAAGAAAGCTGACTTCTCAGAGAATCCACACTCACTTAGATACATACTTTCGAACTTGCAAGGAAAGACCTCTTTACTTCAAAGATTCAATACTTGGCAAGGCGCGTTATAGCATGCTACACATTGTAGACTACGCCACACTGGACGGTGTACTTCACTGCTTCAAAGTAACTGCTTCGGCTTTCTGTGAGGCTGCTCACTTGGCACAAGAATGTGGAGTGTCGATGATGACATCAGTCAACTCTCTTGCTGAGTCATTGGCGGGTCCCTTGCGTGAACCCTGCAATCGTATGCAAGCAGGCTTCTGAAGTCTCTGGAGTAACAGCACATCACCACGGCGCTGTGAAAGCTATGAAACACAGCATGCATGCCTTCTGGTATACTGTCCGAGACACAGCTCCTGCTCTATTCTGTAAATATACAATGGAATTTCGTATCCCTGGAAGAGAGCAAAAGTGGGACCAGCTTCCTGATCTGGGGCCCAGTGTTCGTCAGAAGGCCACAAGTCTTGCCCATGCAAGACATCCATGAAGATGATATGTGGCATAAGTTGATTCTACATTGCACTACCAAAAGGTAGCTGTCCCAACAAAGAGTCGCTGAAAGCCTCACCTTGACAGTCTTGCGCTTGTTGCACGGCTGGCAGGCTTTGGAAGTTCCCTGCAGAACCACGAGACACATGTAAGGCAACTTTTTAGCAGAGCAGATATCTAACCAACCACGAGTCTGATCCTGCCGTAAAATTGTGGTAGGCGATCTAAAAGACACCCTTTGTGTGACACTGCTGGCACACGATGGTAATTTCACAAGAGTCACCTTGCAAACGTTTCACACCCCACCAAGTCAGATTCACTCTGTTGTCTCCAGTAAGGCTCAAGGCTCAAGGCTCAAGAGGGGTTACTGAACACCACTGGCAATTACTACCCCCTAAAAACAACATGCCAGGGGTTGATATGCAAACAGCAAGGGCCGGGTGACTCACCTGCGCCAGGCTGTCGAGCGCGGATTCAACGGCGTTACCGGGCCAGTCGACAATTCGCACCCACAGCGGCAGCGGCCTGTCGTGCATCTTGCAGTCTTCTTTCATCCGCTCCTGGCGAATGAAGAATGCCTGCACGCAAGTCTTGGCCACGTCCGCTATCAGCCAGACTGCCACCGCGTACGCCCACACGATGCCCACCTTGGCCCAGCCTGCAAATAGAAATGATTGTCGGGCACTGAATGTCGTTCAAGGATTGATGCATGCCTAGTACAATGTATCACAATTTCTCCCTGCCAAAAATTGTAGGCAGGGCCGTCAACACATGCCAAGCACTCATGCCAAGCACTGACTCTGACCCAACTGAAAAAGTAGACTGAGCACCTGAGACCCTGTATGCATGATTGCAGAAGGATATGGCCGGCAGATATATGATTTCTTGCCTTCCTGTCTTGATGGTGTGTTGCAGGACACAGATTACATGGTGCAAAGGCCTTCCTATTAAAACAGGGGGTATTCTGAAACCCCTTGAGATCCAAAAGGGTACGCACCTGCGCCGATAAGAACGCCGCGGCCGCCGTCCGGCTGGATGTTCTCGGGCCAGTACACTGCAATGAAGGTGGCAGGCAATAACACGCACGAGACGGCCGCGATTAAAAGCAGCGAAGGCCTCGGGGCCGTCTGCTTGGAGAATCGCCAGAAGAGCGCCGGGTTGCGCGTGGCGAAGATGTTTAGCTGGATCATTATCATGAGCGCCAGGAAGATGCATGCGACCACCTGCGCGGAAATGGTCGCTGATGTCGCACAGTTATTTGACTTTGTGACGTCCGTAATTACCATGATTGATTCAAATTGGAGGGGAAGCGACACATGCACACACATCAGCGGTCACATGACAGTGCTCATTGGACAGCGAAGGAGCATGCTATCAGTGAACATCGTGGCACGTTGTATGCATATTGAGCACTGCTAAGAGATTCCCCATGACGAGATTAGTATCAACACTGCCTGCAAAAGTTGTGCAGCATAGGGACCGTTGCTACTTCGAGCTGCAATTCCTGGCCCTCTGTGAGGCTTTGCTCCAGCAAGCTCAGCTGAATATTATGCCTCTGAATAAGCTTTCCACATCTCAAGGATGAATATTCAGACTGACCTGACCGTTGGTGGTGCGGAAGGCCTCGGGCAGGCCATGATCGATGGGGGTGCCCATCAGAGAGAACCAGTTGACGTGATGGGGCAGGCTCAAAAAAAGCAAGAGCACAGAGCCGGCGATGCCGACCGCAGCTGTGCATGCGGCCACTACTAAGCACTTAGTCATGTTCCACGTCAGCGGCATGTCGGAGCTGTGCACCTGTGCAGCGGGCATATATCAGTCTCAGAAGCTGATATTTGTCTAAATTTCCCAAAATCAGGAGCCATCTTTGACTGTGTCAAATACGCGGGTCTGCACCTAAAATGATCTTGTGCACCTGATCGCCCCTATCCAAAACTCATCTCGTTTGCATGCAAAAGGTGGACCAGAGTTTTCACTTTCTGCCGACCTACCGGAACCTCTTCTTTTGTGGCACTCGGATAATATATTTAATGCATGCTTGGGCGCACCATGCCTGCTGTCATGAAAGCAATGACTAACCAAGTAAGCAATGCAGCGCTCGGCCTCACCTTGTCGAAGGAGGTGGCCATGACAGAGGCATCGTTAGTAATGTTGATGACGATGATGGCCCAGGTTGGCATCTCCAATCCTAATATTATGATCCCAAAGAAGAAGAAGCCCAGAATGAGCAGGCTTGAGGCTATGCGGTAGATCAGGTAAGACTGAAGCCGCGCAAAAATTGTGCGGCTGGCTTGGATGGCTGTTATGATGGGGCCCAACCCCTCCTGCGCAGTAAGCCAATACATGTGAGACATTTTTTCTTGCATTTTGAAGTTACCCTGCCAGCCTAAATAGCTGCTATTCGGCTTCGACCCTTGGTATCGAATAGCTGCTATCTGGCATCGAGCCAGACTTGCCCGTCTGCTGGGCCGACGTGTCATCATGCATGCAGCACCGCTGCTTTGAGAGCTTTTGGTACCCTCACACGTTCCTAACTACTATACATGCCTTCTCGCTCTGCCCTTTCCAGGGCCTCTGTCGTGATCACGGCAAGGGGCATACCTGGTCTGGATAAAGATCAACGTCTTCTGTGTTTGGTGAAGACACGCAGCTCAATGCAGAAAGCTGCAAATTTGCGCAGCATTGAAGAAGAAAGCCCTTGCATGCTCTACGTCCCTTGTCAGCGCTGAAATGTGCAGTTAAATAGCACTTCACGGAGAAATGCAGGATTCCTTTGGCAAACATCTTTGGGATTTTTCTTCTGCTAACCCCAGCTCAGCTCGTGATGTCAGCAGAAGGTGATTACCTCGGTGAGGATGATGTCAGCGGCACCCTTGGCAGCTGATGTGGCGCCGGCCACAGCGATGCCCACGTTGGCCTTCTTCAGTGCAGGCGCAT